CTAATGCGCTATTTCACTAAAATTATAAGCATCTAGGACTACAAAATAAATCTGTCTTTATTTGTTTAGTAATGATAATTTGGTTTGAATTTGTTGAATGTGCAGATGGTGTAAATTTCCATATGATATATGTGAGTGAATAAATTTACTTTTTTTTTTTTAATTTCTTTTTTTCTTTATTTTTTAGAGAAAGAAGAAATGAGAGGGAGAGAAAGATAGAAATATCAATGAGAAAGAACATTGATTGGTCACCTCCTGCATGCCCCTCACTGGGGATTTGGCCCACAACCTGGGCATGTGTCCTGACTGGGCATTGAACCGGTGACTTCTTGGTGCATGGGTCGATGCTCAACCACGGAGCCACTCCAGCCAGACATAAATTTACTTTTTATTAACATTTTTCACATTTATACAATCACTGTTTTCTTTTTTTATTAATCCTCACCTGAGGATATTTCTCTATTTATCTTCAGATGGAGTGGGAGGGAGAGAGAGAGGAAGAGAAAGGGAGAGAGAAACATCAATGTGAGAGGGACACAAGAGAGACATACATGGACTGGTTGCCTCCTGCACCACCCCGACCAGGGCTGGGGACGAACTGCAGCTGAGGTACGTGCCCTTGGCCGGAACCCACGACTCATTGGTCCGCAGGCCGACACTCTAACCACTGAGCCAAACTGGCCAGGGCTACAATCACTATTTTCATAAAGCTTAGACTACTGACCAATGCTGCAAAAATTCTCAGACATTCTTGATATATCCCTGGTAAGCTGAATAAAATACTGAGGTTTATCATTGTTAAATTGATTAAACAAAGAGGCCATCAGACTAAGGTGGCTCTAATGCCATCGCAGCCTACATAAGTAACCCAAACCTAAGTGTGTAAATGCCTCAAGCTTATGAAATAAAAATGCTCAGAACAATCAGTCACAAACAGAAAGCTACGCTTTAAGCTAGAGCCAATCCAATAATTTTCTTTCTTTGCTTCATCTTCGTATGTAAGGATTTCTCGGGCTCCTGTTTGAGAGGCTCCTAACCACTTACAGTATTTTTAACACTTACTAGCATATTAATTTCTTTAGAATTTACAACACATTTTTCTATTGGGAAAGAAAGTCAGAAAAAACATTTTTTTCAGGGTCATCCCATAAAGCCTATTTAACAGATAATAACTCCAAAGTGATATACATTTGCAATAAAACAATGGGAAAATACTGTTGCAAAACAAGTAGTTAAGCAGAAAAAAACACAAGTCAACAGACAGAAATATTATTAATAATAAATACATAATCTAAAAAAGAGCGTAACTAGAGAAAGTGACTTTGGAGTTTTTTTTAAAACCTCATCTGAGGACATTTTTCCATTTTTTGTACAGAGTGGGAGGGAGAAAGAGAGGGAAACATCGATGTGAAAGGGACACTTCGAGTGGCTGCCACCCGCACGACCGGGGACAAACTGCAACCGAGGTACATGCCCTTAGCAGGAACCGAACCCGGGTCTCTCCAGACCGCAGGCCGACGCTCTAACTGCTGAGTCAAACCGGCCAGAGCTGGAGGAGTTTTTGAAGTTACATACTTGAAGGTGATATTGAGGATCCTAGATTTTTACTATGCTTCATTTAATTTTCATATTTGATAAAATATGCTGTATTATTTCTATAATACATAATTATAATTAAGGTCATTTTAGCTTAATTTTCACTGTGAAGAAAATGTTTGAAGAGGAATAATTTGATCGAGATAATTAGAGTGGGGGATAAATGATGGATGTTAAAATAGTATATGTGTATATGTCAAGAAGAAAGAAATTATATCATTCTGAGGGGAAATTAACCCATTGAGAATTATGTGTTCCAAGCAAACATTTATTGAAAATTACATAACTTTTTTCCTTCTAAAATAACTTATTTCATCAGCAGAGTAGTTTTATTCATTCAACACATTTAAATATACTGATATTTTTAGCAACTGCTTTGTTTTTAATGCACCAATCCAATAAAGATCATTTACTGCAAAATGAATGTAAAATCATGTATGTACACAAATACTTCTGAACATAAATATACACAAATATTTTTGGAAAAGCAAAAACAAATTAAAATATTTCAAGGGAGCAAGATACTAAATCGGGCTAGTGTTAAATGAAAGAAGTCGCCTTTTAGTAGATAATATTTAATTCAAACTTAGAAGAGGATGCTTATGAACAAAAGCAATTTATACAGAATAATTTAGGGAAAAAGAAGAAAATGGAAAAGATAGGTCAAAATTTTATTGTGATGGATTCTTAATTCTAAACTATTATGGGTATTTTTAGGTGAGCACTGGATGTAAATCAATACATTTTCCATTGAGAGTGACATTACTAGAGTCAGATCCACAGTGTGTAAAATGGATTTGCAAGGTGTTGAGGTAGGTGATGATTTCCACAGATATAAGGACCAGAACTAGAGGTATAGCTTAGTAAATAAAAGCAAAAGATTGAGTGAGAAACAAAGAAAGAAGGCGGGTGAGCAGGCGGTGCAGCTGCTGCCCAACGGCCTGGGCTCACACCTCCCTGTCCACATCCTCCAGTGGGAGATACTGGCATGTCCACCTGTCATCAGCCTCTTGGTGGGTCTCGTATTTATAGTCAGACTCGTCCAGTCTGTTCGGAGTCAACTTTATGTAAGACGAGAAGCGCAGCTGGCAACAGCACTCTTCGTGGGCCTGCAGGTGGCTGTTTTATCACTGTGTCCTCCAACGGCTTTTCTTCTGGGTGTGCATGGGGAAAAGATCTCTTGTATATCTTTCTCTTCTTATAGGAACAGCAGATGTATTCTGTTCGAGTCCCATCCTTATGACCTCTTTTAACCTGAATTACCTCCTTAAAGTCCTTATATCCAAATACAGTCACATTGTGGGTTAGAGCTTCAATGTATGAATTTTGCAGAGAAGACAATTCAGTCCATAACACCAACCAACTACAGGTCCTTATTGTGTGAAACAAAAGCCCTTCTACTCTCCTTATTCACTTACTCCTACACTCTTGGCACCCACTGTTTCAACAGCATCTGACAGTATCATCTGTGCTCTTGGAGGGATAATATCTGCTCTTCTTTACCCAGAGTATTTCAGTGACTATCCTGAAAGTATTTAAATCCATACCAAATAAAAGTAAATGAGCATTCCTTCCATTTCATATCCATTTTCTTAAGACTAGGACTGTTTTATTGTAAATTCACTTATATAACAACAACACTCAGAACTTTCTTTGTTAGACTTCTGCCTGCTGTTTGTTCTGAATTTTAACTACCCATTAATTACAAACACAATGAATAACAACCATTACTACTAATTGTAATAAACAGATAATCACTCAAACAAATGTACAAACTTTTTATTTAGAATTAGAGACTCAAATTCAAATTAAATAAGTACAATATAAAATAGGAAGCCTTGCCCTGGCCAGTTTTGCTCAGTGGTTAGAGCGTCGGCCTGTGGTCCGGAGAGACCCGGGTTCGGTTCCCGCTAAGGGCACGTACTTCGGTTGCAGTTTGTCCCCGGCCCTGGTTGGTCGTGCGGGTGGCAGCCACTCGATGTGTCCCTTCACGTCGATGTTTCTCACTCTCTCTCCCTCCCATTCTATCTGTACAAAAAATGGAAAAATATCCTCGGGTGAGGATAAAAAAAAAAAAAAAAAAAAACATTTAAAAAAATAAAAATAAATAAAATAAAATAGGAAGCCTTCCTAAAACAGACCGTAACCCTTGAAATCATCTACTGTTTCCTCAACAAAATGAAAGAAAAACCTAAAGAGAGTCCAAAATCAAATTATTTTTAAACTCTTGTTGTCAACAGTACAATAATTACAAAACACTCAAAGAAATTTAATTAGAAAATGAACACAGCTACTGCAGAGAAACTCCTGCTAACTATTCACTAAAATAAATTAAATTAAAATTTCGTATGATTTCTATTCATTCACAAATAAAAAGCACCTCGTTTTAAAAAGACAATTATTTGTTTCTCTCCAGGTTGGGGGACTACCCTGCTTACTTGAATTTTAATTTTAATATGGCACAATAGATTCGATCAGTAAAAGCAGTATCACTAAAAATGTTTATAATGTTCCTTACAGACCCTTTCTGCTTTATTTCATGGATGAGAGAGGGGTCATATATTTAAAAGTTAAAACATTACAATATAATAGATATCCTTCAATAAGGTACATGGCAAAATAAAAATATACATTAAACAATAAAAGTCTCTTTTTGTTTAATTTATGAACAGGAAATTGATCAGACTCATTTTATATTTTTCCTTTTTACTAGGTCTTAATTCTCCAGAAAAAATAGTTTATATTATTGTTATAAATCCAATTATAAGAATTTGCATCAAAAAGGTACCAAGGGAGATAGTATAATTTTAAAAGTCCATATTGTTTTTAAAAATAGTTATAAAAGTGGAACCAGACTTGTTTTAAGGAGATAACAGAAAAATACACTATTATGGTGTTGGCATATTTAAAATAACTCAAAACAAAAATCCACACTCAAAAATGAAATCCACATCATTCAAGGATATAATTATACGCATATATACAAATACTTGTGAGGTTTTCCTAAAACATGCACATTCTGAGTCTTTTGTAATTAAAAATATCAAATATATGTGTCAACTGTCATAATTGGAGCTTTCTGCACACCAGGAGAGTTAAAATTTGAACATCTGTTGTTCTGTAAAACTGAAGATGAAATATAATCAAACTCAGCATTTCACTAGAAAATTTTATATATCTCAGTAACTTGCTATATTTGTCCTCAAATAAATGGACTCCTAGGTACAGTTATTCTTTCAAATGTCTTGTTTCTACTATTGCTCTTTAAAATCAAATCAAATTGCTTAGAGAAAATTCACTCAGGGTTCTGAAAGAATTAATTGTGTGTTCTAGCTCTCAGAAATTTTTGTTCTCTCTCAAAGAGAATGGAAAATACATGAGATTTTCTTATTGACTCTCTAAATGTAAAGATTAATATTAGTGTAGAATAAACATCTGGAACACAATAACTTTTCAGTTTTCAGTTTATTCATTACCAAGTAGCTATAACGTCAGACAAGTAACTTAACCTCCCTGTGCCTTAGTTGCATCTTTAAAACAATGATATTAGAAGGAATAATCTCTAAGGTTCCTTCCAATTCTCACATGGTATGATTTTGTGCTTCTGCATAAATATCTACTTAATACATTGACTTTTCCACAAATCAAGAGAACTAATAGGATCTAAGAAAGCACAGGTGAACTAAATCTCTCCTGTAAGAGAAACACAAAGACCACGTTACAGTTCAACTTCCCAAACTCTAGTAGATCCATCCATTCCCTCTCTAGCCCAACCAACGAACAGCCCATAGTCAGAAACCAAGTATCTTAGTTACATAAATTATTTTAAATTACACTATAAACTTATTAAAATATATTAACTCTATGCCACAGTTTTCCTGCATTCTAATTTACATTATTTTCATTCTATCTACATTCAAGATAATCTGTAGAGTTAAGGTAGGGTGCTACTTAATATTCTTATACATACTTCAAAACACTAGTAAAGTTAAATAGAATGAAGAGCAGATATTAATCATTATCATATTCTTTCAATTTTAAAATAAAAGTACACTGAATACTATTTATAAGCTAGAAAAACAAGGCAAAGGTAAAAAAGGACATCTTACTAACAAACGCTCATGTTCAAATGAATTTAGTTGTGTTTCGCCATTGCTCAAAAAAAGAGAAGAGGGACAAGATGTCAGCAGAAACCTACTTAGGCAATACTGAGCTCAGACATTTCTGGAGCCTTAATGAGAAATTAATGAACCATGAGGCAGTACTTTTGGTATTAGTGAGTGCAAGTTGATTTTTCTTTGTCTAACAATGGGCAGCAAATGAGGCACTTAACTGTAAAATAGAAAAATAGGGAATATTTAGAGAATAAATTCAAAATCATTCATAAAAGATAATTAGCATTATTCAAAAAGCAAAAAATTCTATTTCTATTTAACATGCTTTCAAAGTTACATAAACTTCATTAGGAAAAATACTTTTGAACATAAGACTGCTGTTCAGTTTATAAGAGACAGAAAATACTTCTTTTTCAAGAGATTTTGGATTTCTGAGAATGAAATTCAAGTCTTCTTAGCCTGAGTGTTACATATTTATGAATGGAGAAAAATAAATTTTACCCATACTGGAGAAATGTTTCTATCAACAAAGTATAATATGTGATCCCTGACCTTATTCTTGAAGGATCAGAAGTTTTTAGTTTACATAACTTCAAAGAAGGGGACCTAGTGACTGTAAAAGAATAAACAGTTATTTAGCACCTAAATTTAGAAATCACGTAAATATTGCCATAGTTTTAAATAGCTGTATGTCCACAGATCGGGGAAAATTAGATATGTATTGTTCAATATTAGAACATTCTCAAAGATTCAAATATCAAGCTTCTAAAAATTATCCTTGATTTACGAATACATGTACTTATAACATTCAAACACAATTATTATCATGTGTTCCTGAAGTTACAGATATATATTCTTTTTAACAAGTAAAATTAAGTGATGTTTATTTTTTCTTAGTCACCATTAAATTGTCTTCCAAATGTGGCACTTTTTCAGAGATTTAGATAGAAAATAGTTCTTTAAAAAACAGTCATCATCTTCTACCACTAGTAATATTTTAAATGTTCTTTGTTATGAGGCAGAGGTCAAAAGTGAAGTAAACCACCATGGACCTTCTGATGATATACATATGCAAACACAGAGCAGGAACACAAGATAAACATATGTGAATTTCTGGCAATCTACTGGCACACAAATGCTTATCTGCAAGTAAAAAAGGTCTAACTGAAAAGATAGTAAATGTTTACCATGACATTATTCCAAATGAATGGAGCCTAGTGTTTGCTTTCTTTATAAGTGAGAGGAATATTCTTATGATGTCTCTTTAAATAAACTTGATTTTAATTATGGATAGAACATTTGCCGTCATATGTTAAAAGTGATACATGTCATAAACAAAAGTCTTCCATGAGATACTTTAATCATCCCTACTGAATAATCCTATATTCCTCCTTCTCTCCCTATTTGCTTATAAGAAGCTTTCCTTCACTCATAAGGGAGGAAAAAAGGCTTAAAAACACAAGTTCTTCCTCCAAGGAGGCTGGCAAATTTCAATAGTCACAATCCCCATATATGTTATTTACATTCACTTTAACACATTGCATTCTTCACTACATAGAGGAGTCAACTTTTCTTATTTGTTTTAAGGTAAATTTTTCTATCTTCTTTAAGATATTATAGTTTGTTTTTGAAAGAACAGGAATACATAAAAACAAACAAACAAAAAACAGGAACACTGGTGATGGCAATCTAGTTGTTAAGAAATAAAGTACATATGTCTTCCAATATAAATATTGTTTGATACATTACAACTAAGTAAAAAAGCTAACCCAATCAAAATGAAGATTGCCCTCAGTATCTAGAATATGGAAAATATGAGACAAGAATACAATTCTATATAAATAGTAAAAAAAAAAAAAAAAAATGGGGGAAATATTCCCATTTCCCTTCAAAAAAAAGAGAGGAAAAAAAGAGAAGGCAACTAAAAATATTCTTAAGCCCTGCCTGGTCTTGCTCAGTGGTTAGAGCCTCAGCCTGCAAACCAAAGGGTGGAGGGTTCAATTCCTGGTTAAAGGCATATACCTGGGTTGCAGGTTTGATCTCCGATTGGGGTCACGTGGGAGGCAACCAACTGATGTGTTTCTTTCACATTGATGTTTCTCTCTCTCTCTTTGTCCCCCACTCTCCTGTCTATTCTACCTAACGATCAATGGAAAAATATCCTTGGGTGAGGATTAACAACAACAACAACAACAACAACAACAAAAAAACATGTTAAGGAAAGTTAAGTGGATTTCTGCTTCCAAAGCAACCAGACATGCTACACAGTAATACCAACATGCAATACCTGAAATGTGGAATCACATTCTGACTGCTGCCCTTGAACTTCTACATTTAATTTACAGTTCTCTGATGTCTGGCTGATTTCATCTTGCAAAGTAGGAGATATGCCATGAGTATCATCTATAGAAGCACTGTCAGACAAGGCATCTAACTTCTCCGGGGAAGAAGCCATGTGAAGTGCACTATCTTCTGCCCCTTCAGCAAAATCTGTCCTCTCCTCTGCATCTTCTAGCTGTTGAACAGAAGTTAAATACTGTTCAAGCAGATTATCCTGCTCATTGTTTGAGCTTTCCTTATTCCACTCACCATGTTCCTCCCTAACATCTGCTACATCTGACTCTTGGCAACATTTGACTGTGTCAATGGAATTCCCCATTACTGAACTTGCACTGCTTTCTATGGAACTTTTTCCAAAATCCAAAGAATCCTGCAAACAGGGAACTTGTTCTGTTAGGGAGGAATGAAAACCAGAGTCTGGAAATTCTGGTAAGGATTTCTCTTGAAGTGCTTCATCAGGAGCAACAAGCCAATCAGAATTTTGATCAGAAGATGGCTCCTGGCTTTGAGTGAATAACAGAGGTTCAGATGGCAGCAGAGTACTGGATATAGGAGGAGCATCAGTACGCCAGGAACTTAGACGCTGGTCCACAGTCTGTTGCCATGCTTGTAGAGACCTTACCTATAAACCAAAGTACACAGTTTTATTATAAAATAAAAATCACACCTGTTTTATAATTGTCCTTGGAGCTTTTCCTCAACACTTGTGAAGTTGTAAATGGCAGATGGCAAAACTGGAGTTAGAAATGGCCTGAATTCCCTTACCCTTTCTATAGCATCTCCAGCCTACACCAGGCTGGCACAAGTGGTACATGTCCTTGATTATAAAAGGCCCTCACCAAGAGAGTAGGGATGGGCCAAAGCAATTCCCTTGCTTCTTCTGGAAAAGCAATCAGAAGTACAACAGCAGGTGTCTAGCTGACTAAGAGGTCAATAATATACTCGATATATACTGAAGTCCATATAATAAGACAGATTAGAGGCTACTAATATAAGTAGATGCGCTAATATAACTAGAGTCTCATTTTATATATCTTTTTGGGATAAGAGTTTAAATATTATCTATACACCTCTAAAATACCTAAAAATACCTCAAGTTCTTGATAATATGACCTTTACATTATTAAAGTACAATGAAGATCTCAAAATTTTACTATAACATCTGAAACCAAAAACAATATATAGTTAATTTTTAGTTTCCCTTTGACCATGCTCCAAGGTAATCACCAATAGCAGTTTGATATGGATCCTTCCAGACCTTTTTACTATGTATTTTCAAATGCAAAGGGAGTTTTTAAAATTAAGGGGAACCCCGAGTTCTGCAATTTGCTGTTTTTCACTGATCAGTGTTATCTTGGAGATCTTTCCACACCAGTCCAGTTCTTCTTTTTAACTGTTCCATAGCATTCCACAGTATTGTTATTTCTATAATTTATTTAAGCACTCCCCTATTATTAGCCATTATAAAACCTTAAAAAGGTTTTTTGAATTTCACAGTTAAAATCCTATTACAAGAAATTGTTTTATAAAAATATTTCCAAGGAATAACCTTGAAAAAATATTTGCTGGGATACAATTATAATAAAACCAATTGTCTGAACTGTCTCCAAAGTGTGCTGTTGTAAGACTCAAACTCTCTTTCTCAACAAGTCATGCATACTTTTAGGACATGCATATTGTAATCATCATCCTATGTTAGTCAACTTTCATTCAAATATTCTCAAAAGATAAAACAAGATATATAGTCACATAAAACTTCAAATTGGGTGTTTATACCTACATATTGGAAAGTTATAACAACATCTCTCAATTTAGTCACTTGCTTTCATCTTTATACTTCTTTACCTTTCTGTTCAAAATCATAAAAAGTTTTTTTTCAGATTAAATAAAATGTTACAAAGTTCACTGCACTAGTTCCAAGTTAGTGGCAAAAAGTACAAATTACATCCTTGACCTTGGGAAAGGGTGCTTATTATGCCTAACTCTGATTATCTCAATAAATATAGAATGTTTCTTCGTTCACACATTAGGTAAATCAACAGGAAGGGGCTTACCTGGTTCCAAAGGAATCTGACAGCTTCTTCTTGTACAAAATTTTTAATACGCTCTTCATCTCTTTCTTTTCTTAATCTATAATAATCCAAAATCCATTACTGACACAAGGAAGGGTGCTTTGACTTGCACTTCTTATAACAACTAATAAGCACATGCGTTGTAGACAGATTAAAAACCAAGTAACAGTCCTTTCCACTCTTAAAATATTTAAGCTGAAACAAGTTTTAAGCTATGACTCAACAATGAGATGTGACTGAAATTCAGATTATATTGGTTCCACAAAGTATTGCTAGTGATAAAAAATAAAATAAAATATTAAATGCTCTTTATCTGGCCTCAATTTCCCAGCCAAACACTCCAAAGGGGCAGCAGCTGAATAAAGGTGTTAAAGATTAGGATCACAGGAAGAAACATCTTCTAAGAGACTAGCAGGATTAATCCCATCAAACATCACTCCCAGTTTGCCTCAGTTCCTGGCCTTGCTATCATCAACAGACAACCCCACCTCATCCCATCATTTCCCCTAATTCGTTGAAGTCTTACTCTGGGATCACTGCCATCTCTCTCCATACTTACACCTACCAAAAACCTAGGGCTCCCCTAGTTGTCCATTATCTATCTCCCAGACTGTCACCACCCTCTTGTTCTGAATCTCTGACCCAATTCCCCACATTCTCTAGCCCCCCAAGCCCTTCTCCTGTGCCATCTGAGACTCCTCAATTGGAACCAACAAACTCCTTTATATAGTTAATCTCTTAGATAAACTTTTCCTTGACCAAACCCACTTCCCCCCTGGCTGATTTGGCTCAGCGTTTAGAGCATCAGCCCTTGGAATGAAGGGTCTTGGGTTCAAATGCCAGTCAAGGGCACATACTTTGTGGGAGGCAACCAATCGATGTGTCTCTCTCACATCAAAGTTTCTCTCTCTCCTTCTCTCCCTTCCACTCTATTTAAAAAATCAATGGAAAAATATCCTTTAGGTGAGGATAACAACAACAAAAAATCAGACCCAGTCCTGAGAGCACTGCCGCCCTCGCAATTGGAAGCTATCTTTCTCACTCATTCATTAGTTTCAGAAGACTGCTTCTCACTGCTGTGTACGGACTGTTCTTTACCTTCCTCCTTAAGGAAGTAAATCTCCCCAAACTCTTGTTAAGTACTGACTTCCCATTACCAGCCCCTGCGACCCCATTCCTGCACCATTTCTGGAGACCTCAATGTTCCCATGGATGCTCTATCTAAGAATAGTCTGCCCACGTTGTTCCTTCTCATCGTCTCACTCTAGACCCAGTCATTTATTTTCACTACACCGTTTTCAAAAATGGTTTCAAGTACCCACACAAACCACTACCTCCTATCTTCCCAGTTCACCTGCCTTGCACTTCACAGCAACAATCTAGATGTCCAGTCTTCATCCAGATCTCCTAACTAAAGATCCCCTTTCCTCTTACTTTGTTTAAATTCCAAGATCCAGCTTTACAATCATCCTCCACCTCTAAATGTCTTCGACTCCTTTGCCCTTTCCTCCCTCCCCTTCCATACAAACCAGGAAAAAACCATTCTTGGCTAAAGCAAATTAACCACCCCCGAATCAGAACAGAATAGAAGAGCCGAGAATTGCTGGTGAAAATTATACCACCTGACCTACTGCTTTAAGTTTTCCTCTCCTGTCCAGCAATGCTCCTCCATTCCCCCTAAAAGTGCACTTTTAAAATGAATACCTCACACCTCACATCTCTCCTTAAACCTCCCACACCCTCACCCTCTCTTCCTTTTCAAATGTTGACCACACCATATATATTACTGAAAAAAGGAGAAGCATCCATCACACAGGACTTCCCCACCTCCACCCTCAAACCTATCGCCTTACCTGCTGCTGCCCTGCCTCAGGCCACTCTCTGTTGGTGCACTGGGTCCCTTCCTCGCTCACCTCCTCAAGAACTTCACGCCTGCACTTCTTTCCTTCCCCCGCACCATCAGTTCTTCTCTCTGCACTGAATCATTTCCATCCACACACAAACATGCTCTCTCCCATCTTTAAAAATGTTTTTCCTTAACTCCAGATTCTCCTCCAGCTCTTCTCTTCCTCACAGCAACATGTCCCCAAAAAGTTGGCTATGCTCACTCTTCACCTCTCACTCACTTTTCAACCCATTCCACACCACCTGTATCCAGCGACACCACTGACGCTGCTCTTTGGAACCTCACTGGGCAGGAAAGGGTTAACTTAGCAGGACTGGGGTGTTCAGACCCTATGTATTCTAAAGACAACTGGCCTTGATTGGCTCCTGGGAGGTTACCTGTAGGCCCTTGGAATGTCCTGCCTGCTAAGAGTATCTGTATACGTGGGGCTTTGGGCTAAACCAGACACTTTATTCTAACTATGTGCTTTCTGGTGAATAAGTGGTGTGTTTTTTTGTTTGCTTGTTTGTTTTTAATTTTTACTTATAGATTTGAGAGAGAGAGAAAGAAACATTAATTTGTTGTTCCATTTATTTATGCATTCATTCATTGATCCTTGTATGTGCCCTGACCTGGGACTGAACCCGCAACCTTGGCATATTGGAACAACGCTCTAACCAACTAAGTCACCCAGCCAGGGCTGGTGAATAAGTGTTTTTGTTCACCTGGAGGGCTGAGGTCTGAGTAGTTAAAGCCAGTCACTGCGTATGTGACTGACGCCCAATGAAAACCCTGGAAGTCAAGGCTTCAGTGAACTTCCCTGGCTGGCGATACTTCACAAGCGTTGTCACACATGGTTTCCGGGAGAATCAAGCCCTGTCTGTACCACTCCAGCAGGAAAGGGCAACTAGAAGCTTGTGCCTGGTCTTTTCTGGACTCTGCCCTATTTGCCTTTCTCCTATGCTGACTTTAACCTAGATCCTTTCATTATAATAAACCATAATCATGAACAGACAGTTTTCCTGAGTTTTTTTTAGCAAATCATAACTCCCAGCTTCTCAATCTAATGTATACTCCTCTGTCCTCCCTACAGCCTGTGTCTTCTCTCCTGAATCCTTTCCCTGTTGGAGCTGGGACACACATTCTCCTTGTTTTCTTACCACTCTGGCTGTTCCTTCCAGTCTCGTACTGCCTCCTCCTCTTCCACCTAATACTATTAATACATATTTGTGGCTGCAATACTAATACTCAAAAGAAATTCTGCAATTCTAATTTTCCTGGGTCGGCACTCAGTAAAACATGTGAGCCACGCAATAAAGACACACTTTCTACCACTATCCCAGCATTTTAAATCTCTGCTCTTTCTCAGGTCACCTAGTCAGGGAGGGAGGGAGGGAGAGAAAGAGAAACATCGATGTGAGAGAGATACATCAACTGGTTGACTCCCTCACGACCCCAACCAGAGCCAGGGACTGAACCACAACCGAGGTACGAGCCCTTGACTGAAATCGAACCCGTGACTCCGCAGGCCGACACTCTAACCACTGAGCAAACAGGCCAGAGCACCTAGTCAGTTCTGTGTAGACTTTCTCATCTTCTTATATCTATACTTATTTAATTTTTCTACATTTTCTGTATTTAGGTTTATAGGTATTTGTAAGGCATGTACTCATTCAGCGTTTAATGCTACACTGCATCTATGTACCAACTGCTGTGCTAGACATGGAGATCCAAGTGACTGTGTCTACCCTCAAGATGCTTTCAGTATGTTGTAGGAGACAAGTAAACCAAGAGTGGCGATGTGGTATGAAACGTGTCCTGACCACGACAGCAATGATTCAGTGTTCTGAACAACTCTTAAGAATCTGATGGCCCCAAACGAACAAAACAGCACCTGACAGGACTTTTGACTCACCTCCTTACTTCATTGGTGAGGCAGACGATGTGCTCCTGCATTCTGCGCAGCCGGATCTCATAACGGACGTCTTTAGCTTGGGGGTTGTAGTTCCTAGCATAAAAGCCCCGCCAAGAGGCCTGCAGTGTAGTGGCTGCTTCATTCAATTTCTGAAGGGCAACTTTATCTTGTCCCGAAGCAACAGATCTCTGGGTTATAACCCCACAGGGAAGTTCCTCTGAAGGAGTTTCAGACATGGTTTCTTCACTATCTGGTTTTGTATGTAAGACACTGTGTCCATCTGACTCAGGAAAAGATGGAAGACTGTGGGTGTCACCTTTCAAGACAGCACTGGCTACTGCTGGCTGAGGACAAGGTAAGAGCCCATCTTTATCATTGACCTCTGCACCTACTGCACTTTTCATCATTTGAACAGAATTCGCATTTGCAGCCCAAAAAGCTTTTTCCTCTTCTTTATCCAAGTCCTGGTCTTCCTGCCCTTTTACAGATTCAACTGCACCATCTTCCAGGCTCAAGTGAATGCCCTGTAGCCTCAGCTCAACTATAGGTGATACGGGGGAGAGTCCTGATGCAACTGGCATAAAAGTAGACTCTGAAGAGAGAAGACTGCAGTTCAACTTGTCCTCATCTGTCTGTATGTCTTCCAAGTGCAGGTCATTTCGAGAATACCTTGTAGTGTGTACAGAGGCTGGAAAGTTACTCCTAACAGCATATAATTGATCATCATTATTGCTTATCCCAACCCAAGAATTGACTTGGATGACGGGGTCTAGAAGAATCAACAGAATATCATTTGAACCACTAAATATCTAAAGGTTTTGATTTTTTAAAAAATTTGAGCTCTATCAAGGTGTAATTAACATACAAAATTGTAAGATATTGAAAATGTATATTGGGGTGATTTGATATACCTATACATTATGAAAATATCACACACACCCCCACCAACTAGTTAATTAAAAATCCATTACCTTGCATATTTATTTTTATTTATTTTTTGGTGAATCAAGACATATTTTTCAGTTACATCTTTTTAAGGAAATCTAATCCTTGAAATAGAGTAAAAGGTAATAAAATGCTTTATTGACTCCTGCCATATGCCTAAAACATCAAACCAAATATTTTTAAGAAAATACATTTTTTCAATAATAAGAAGAAGAATAATCAAAGTATTGGACCAATACCAAAAGTAGCAGTGCTCTGAATTTTTAAAAATTAGAAATAAAATAGTTGTGATATATATATACATACATATATATATGAGTGTATACACACATATATAAAACATAAGATCCAAATGACCACTTAAGCTAAAAACTAATAAATTATGAAAATATGCACCTTTTCTGTTTTTTGATGCCTAATAGATCAAACAACTTGGAGAAAACACAACAATTTGTTTCTCACCGATTTCCTGGACGATTTGGCAATCTTGAATGGGGCTCGAGCACTCCAGTGCCCTTGTTTCCGTAGGAGGAAGACAAGACAACTCTTCATTTTGACTTTGGTTCATTAGCTGCCTCTGGTGAAACCTAAAAGCCAATAACATTGGATGTGATTTAACACACACCAAAAAAAAAAGCTTTTCTGCTTCGTAGGTAACACTGTAAGAAAGGTAGAAGTTTACAGGTCTTCAAAGTAGATTCCTCTAATCACCACCAAACTGCAATGTCTCATTTGAAAGCACTGGATAGAAAAGGTTAAGGAACTCATTTGTAAATCACATAGACACCCTCATAGGCATACACTTGCACAAACACTTAAGGCAGGATCTCTGATTTATTTTAATTAAAAAAAAAGTGACCACTAAATGCTTCTAGCTATACTTCTTTTTTCACCCAAGGATATTTTTTCCATTGATTTTTTTTTAGAGTAGTAGAAGGGAGAGATAGAGAGAGGGAGAAAGAGAGAGAGAGAGAAAAAGAGAGAAACATTGATTGGTTGTCTTCTGCACACACCCTGACCGGGGTCAGGGATCAAACCTGCAACCCAGGTACGTACCCTTGACCAGAAGTCAAACCCATAACCTGTTGGTGCATGGCCAACACTCTAACTACTGAGACACAGTGGCCAGGGCTCTAGCTATATTTCTTAATTTTAGTGTTTAAAAACCCATATGGAACACCTACACTAAAAGAAGAGATCCAGCCATGGCTGGTGTGGCTCAGTGGTTAGAGCGTCAGCCCGTGAACCAGAGAAGCCTGGGTCCCGTTCCCACTAAGGGCATGTACCTCAGTTACAGTTTGTCCCCGGCCGGGGTTGGGGTCATGTGGGTGGCAACCACTTGATGTGTCTCTCTCACATCGATGTTTCTCTCTCTCTCTCTTCATCCCTCTCTCCCTCCCACTCTATCTGAAGATAAGTGAAAAAAAAGGTCCTCCAATGAGGATTAAAAAAAATAAAGAACATATCCAGTCCTGGGTAGTTTGGCTCAGCAGTTAGAGCATCGGCCCGCAGACCGGAGAGTCCTGGGTTTGGTTCCCACTAAGGGAATGTACCTTGGTTGCAGTTTGTCCCTGGCCCCAGTGGGGTCATATGGGTGGCAGCCACTCGATGTGTCTCTCTCACGTCGATGTTTCTTTCTCTCTCTGCCTCCCTTTCTTCCTCCCACTCTGTCTGAAGATAAATGTAAAAATGTCCTCAGATGAGAATAAAAAGAACAGATCCATTTTTTAAAATTCCATTCTCCCATACTTCTTGGTTCTCCCCAGACATGATTAGCGATACAGTTGCTCTAGAGCACACTGGACTGCACTGCATGGCTCAGTTCCCTGCCAGACTGCTAGTGACAAGGGGCCCAAACACGCAGAAATGTAGGCCGCAGCACTTGCCTCAGTTCTACTGACCCTGCAGAAAAGACTCAGAGGTATTTTCACTTGTGAATTCATCAGCTGCTACAATTAAATGGACTTACTTCTGTTTGCTCAGAATCTTCTCCAGTTTGGCGTCCTCTGCAGTTTGAAGGCCCAGCGTAGAAGTGAGAGGACAGACTGTAGCTAGATACTGGACGAGCTGGATGTGCTGGCCAGGCCGATATGCTCTCCCCTTGCCTTGACTATAGAGCCATTCAGCTTTCAAACTGGAATTGGGGGACATAAAGAGAAGATGACACTAGGTAGACAAGATATATTTTGAAGCAACAACGATCTCTCTTCTTAATTTACCTTTATAGCATCATTGGATGCTTTTCATAAATTAAACTCACTCAAGTTTAAAAAACTCTGTCCTTCTGATTCACTGCTCTTACTCTTACCATGATTCAAACCCTTTTTCTTATTTAAGGCACAGATTTTCACTAATGGTTCCAAATATTTGAAAAAAATTTTTTTTACTTTATTTTTATTGTTGACACTATTATAGATGTCCCCTTTCCACCTTTGTTAAAATTATTTTCAAAGAAGCTGTAGTGTTCATTCCATTCACTATCAAACTGAAGTACCTAAATAGATCACAGGTAAGACATGATAACAGTATTGTAATTATTTCTTGAAGAGCCATCATCTTTTAGAGATATGTACTGAAATATTCACAGATGAAATTGTACCTAATCTGGAATCTTCTTAAAAATAACACAGGAAAAGAAGAATTAAGTGAAGATATAAATGAACAAGGTTGGCCATAAACTGAAAACTGCTGAAGTTAGAAGGTGTATTCATGGGAGGTCATTATATTAGTATTTACTTTTCACATATGTTTGAATTGGTTTATTTATTTTTTTATTTAATATGCCATTGCTTCAATTTTACCTTTCTTAAATCTGCCCCACAACTTGAAGTTGAGGTTGGATCATTTTGATATACTTTGTTTCTCTGTTCTTATACCATTAACTGAGCATTACAAATAGTTTGAAAATCACTTCCAATCCACAACCATTTTCTTGGGCCTTCATAGTAAGGTATTCACAGCACACAAACTACATTGTCCAAGACTGTTAAGCCACCCAATGTGTATTACAGACTGGAAAGAAACTGGTTCTCTTGACAACTGGTTAAATCATGCAAAAGAGTTGTGTTGCAATAATATGTAACAAGTTTAGTTAGCAATCTCCTAGGAAAGGCTGCTTTCTTGCAATGAGATATGCAGTATGCTAAGTAGATGAACTGAAGTCAGGTAATCCCATCCTTAGTCTAGTGAAATGTTTACTCTATTTAATAAAAACAATTAAAAGTATTTCTTCTGTGAACACATTCCTGTGAATTAAATAAAGATCATTCAGAATCTTCATGAAATCAGCTCTGAGTTTCCCTAAGTTCTCCTGCAAAGCAAATCACTTGTTGAAAAGCTCTCCTCCAAAATAGGTCCATAGCAAAGGATAATCGCCACCTTTAACAAAGCCAGCATGCAACATTTCCAGATTACAGATGGTCTGTGGTCTGGGAGGAAGGAGCGATGAAAGTAAGACAGAAGGCTCGGGCTTGAGCATTTCAGTTTAAGAGTGTGAGGAAAACCATAAACTGTGCAGCCTCAGGTGATATAAACTGTTTTTCTGCTTTTGCTTTATGTTCATCAAAAACACAACCGTTATAGCACTGGCTGGTTTGGCTCAGCAGTTAGAGCGTCGGCTTGTGGTCCAGAGAGACTCGGGTTCGGTTCCCGCTGGAGGCACGTGCCTCGGTTGCAGTTTGTCCCCGGCCCTGGTTGGTCGTGCGGGTGGCAGACACTGGATGTGTCACTTTCATGTCAATGTTTCTCTCTCTCTCTCCCTCCTACTCTATCTGAACAAAAAATGGAAAAATGTCCTTGAATGAGAATAAAAGAAAAAAACAAACACCACCATTATATAAATGTATTCATCCATAAAATTTTCTTGTAGGTAAAAAAATCTCCCTGCTCATTAAAACACTATCGCCAATGAAAAGAAAAACAAAATTAACATTCATTCAGCTGTAATATATGACTTGCAAATCACTGGAATATGATACTTTTCTTGAAATTAAAGGAATGGTTTACATAATATAACAGAAGTAATGACTATTATGAGAGAAAATTAAAAACAATCTGCTCTTTCTCCAAAAAATAAATAAATAAAAAGAAGTATTGAATAAAATGATACTGGTATTTGCTTTTAAAATACTCCAACAAAAATTTGGGGGGGAGCGTAGATGAAACAAGATTGGCAAAATGTTGATCACTCTGAAAGCTACATGGTGGGTATTTGGGTGTTCCTATGTTACTCCCTCTACTTTTCTATGTTTTGAATATCCTTTAAAGAAAGAAACATCTCCAAAGTTCTGATCCCTAAGTTCTGATCTCTAAGCAACAGAGGTGTAGTTTGGTCCTGTAAAACAGATGGAAACAAATTCAGAAAGATCTCCAAATACTCTGGTGCTATACAAAGGTGCTGGTCTTTCCACAGGCGTGCGTCCCTCTGAGAAAGCATTAACCCGAGCACCACCGGGGCGGGTGACTGCTCAAGTGACTCTTTTCCATGACATTCACGTAAGATCTGGCTACCTCAAGTCATCCAAGAACCTGGGGTACTTTCCATAAGGGGAAAAAAGTTTAACCTGGATGTTTTTAGCAAATAACACTTAGGCTGGGTAGATACAAAAACTGGAAATTCCTTTCTATCCTCAGGACAATTCCCAAAGCTGACCAGGAGAACGTTTTGAACACTGCTCAGGCTATCCATCAATTTTTAAGACAATAGCTCTTCCTTAAAATAACTCCCCCCCACCAACAAGACACTTCCAGAGATATTCTAAAACCTGGGAGTACAGTGTAGACTCCAGAGCTGTCTCAGAAATTAACTGCAATAGCATTTTTCACACTCATGTGGCATCAATAACAGTCAAGTTTCCTTGGTTTGAGTATAACTCTATTTACCCATTCTTCTATGGACTGACATTTGGGCCATTTCCCAAATGTCCCAAATAGCTCCCAATGTTTTGGAGCTATTATGAATACGGCTACTATGAACACACTTGTACATGTCTTTTAGTAGACATAAGCACCTATTTTTGTAGCGTATAGACCAGAAGTCAAATTGCTGGGCCACAGGAAATGTGTTTATATGTTTAGCTTCAGTAAATACTGCATCTTTCACAGTAATTGCACCATTTACATTCCTAGAACAGTGTATGAGAGTTCCAATTGCTCCACATACTTAGTATTGTCCGTCCTTTAAATTTTAGCTACTCTGGCGGGAGCTGGTTGATTTAAAGACTCCACGATAACCAGGAAAAATAATAATCTTTCTGGATGATCAAAAAAATCAATACAGTGGCTATCTCTAGTAGGGAGGGAAGTTTTATGATGGGAGTCGGGCAAAAGAGATCTCTGGAGCACTGGTTAGGTTCTATTCTTATTCTCAGTGGTGATTATATGCGTATGTGTAAATATCACAGTTTATACCTGAAGTATGAAATTGTGCAATTGTTTTAAATTTGGGGGTGGGGGAGGGATAGAATCTGCTGAGAAAGGGTTGTTACTGTGCCATGCTCCCACCGCTTCCTCCCTCCAGACTTCAGTGCAGGACGCCTACAGAAAAGGAGGCTACCCCAAGTGAAAGCACTGTTCCTACCTCCTGAAGTCTCTGAAATTAAACATTTGTAAAACATTACACAGAAAGTTCAAAGAAGTACAAATCACCTGAGAGTCACTTGGAGTAAAACCATTTCCACAGTGTAGAAACATTGCCTTTGTATTATTCATCTACTCAATAATTTTTTTTTTTTTGTGGTATGTGCCCCTAGAGGGAACCGAACCCAGGAAACTCTGGTCCGCAGGCCGACACTCAACCGCTGAGCCAAACTGGCCAGGGCACAAATAATTTGTTTTTTTAACACTTCCTTTTTAGCTTCTCCAAAACACTTCAATCCCTAGTCCCTATCCTTAAGTAATGACAATGATCATTTATTAAGCAACTAGTGTGTGACCAGTATTATGCTATATACATCCTTCTTCCTCACAGGATCCTGGAAAGTGAGGTAATATTACCCACATTTTACAGATGAGAGACTAAGGCTTGGAGAAGCCAAGGGACCTGCCCAGGCCATACAGCTAATGGGTGGCAGGGAAGATGTGACACCTTCCCTTCTCTCTCCTGACCAGGTCTCATCTCTCTTCCCAGGTCTCTCTGTGCCACACTCTCATATCTGCCCATTGCTCCATGCTGCGCCCCCACATGCAAAAATGTTGCCAGTCCTATCCCACAGAAAACTGCAGCAAGGTACTTCTTAAAGAAAGACCCAGAGAAGGTAATCCAAGTGAAGCCATATTCCAGCTTTATAACTATCCACAATGAGAAAAACATAAGTGTTGGCAACACTTACCGAGGAAAAAGGAAAAGCCACACTTTCTGGCTGGCAAATTAGACCTGACCTATGTCCCTCACCCTACACCAGCACCATCACCAGGTAACTCCTGATTGCCACTCTTCACGGCCCCATGTCCTGCTCAACAACGAGATGAAACAGCACGGAGAAGGAAAACGAAAACCCTGCCTGTGTGTCACTCATCCTCTCACCAGCAAACCCCTCAAGGGACTACTACCAGCCCCCAGAACAGAAGGGCCACCATGGTGAGGAAGAATGTATGTGTTGAGTCCATGAATGCATGTACGTATGGACTGAAAGGAGGAAGTGAAATGAGGCACAGTGATAAGAATAAACTCACCTCAATTCTCACCATTCCCTCTAACTCCATCCCCTTTTGTCCACATTCTACATTCTAGTTCCTTACCTCCCCTAAAGCTCTAATTCCACTGGTCATGTGTCAGTGCCCAAAAGACCCCATCAGGCAGGGGTCCCAACTCCAAGCCGCAAAAACCATCAGTGATCTAGAGATAGGAGAGTCTTCATTTCTGCTGCTTCACAGGTAGGAAAAGGGGAGGACCAATCAGCATGTCTGCTTCCAGCTCCAAATTAGAATTCTGCATGCATTTTCCCACAGAGCCACTGTTATAAGGGGTAGTTCGGTCCTTAGGTGGTATTATTATTATTATTATTATTATCATCATCATCATTTCTTTTTAAATCCTTACCCGGGGATATTTTTCCATTTATCTTCAGAAAGAGTGGGAGGGAGAGAGAAACATCGATGTGAATGAAACACATAGACTGACTGCCTCCCACACAACCCCAACCAGGGCTGGGACCGAAATGCAGCCGAGGCACATGCCCTTGACCAGAACCAAACCTGCGACAGTTTTGGTCTATGGGCTGATGCTCTAACCGCTGAGCAAAACCGACCAGGGCCTAAGGTATTATTAATACTGCCTACATATCCAGTTAATTATAAGCTTTTGTGGGACTGATCTGAAACCCAACCTCTAGAACAGTTATTTATTTCTTATCCTTTTGTAGAAAGGATAGAAAATACTAAGCAAGCAGCACATAGTCTACTATATGACTGCATTAATGATCTTCATTTCTAAATGCACATTTTTTTTTTTTTATCCTCACCTGAGGATATTTTTCCATTTTTTGTTCAGATAGAGTTGGGGGGAGAGAGAGGAAGTGAGAGAGAAAGAGAAACATTGACGTGAAAGGAACACATTGAGTAGCTGCCACACGCACGACCAATCAGGGCCGGGGACAAACTGCAAATGACGTATGCACCCTTAGCGGGAACCGAACCCGGTTCTCTCTGGACCGCAGGCCGACGCTCTAACCACTGAGCCAAACCAGCCAGGGCTCTAAATGCACATTTTAAGAAATATTCAGCTAATTAATCTTTAGAAAGCTGGAACTGGTCTCTTTAGTAACTTCATGATAAATGTGAGGTTAAAGAGGTCATGTTCACCTTTCCTTCTGAGAAATCATGTATCCGTCCAGGACTCTGAGGTTTAAGCACCAGCTGACGATGTAAGGCCGATAGTCGAATCCTGGAATGGAAGGTGTTGCCATCACACAAGGATTGCTCATGATCGACAACTGTTCCAATTCAGTTAAGGATGCCAAAAAAGAGATCTGGAACAAAGGATATCTTTGTTGAACAAAATGGTCTATCCAGTGTCAAGCACAGGGCTTCCGCTGATTACACATCTTTGGCAATTTGAGAATGTAACAATTTCCCTCTTGTTCTGAAAAGTGACAAGTAACACTCCTACTTTATCCGCCAACTTCCAAAATTCCAACAATATAGCCATCTGTCCTGGCCACACAATGTCCCTTAGAGAGTATCAGCATTTCTCCCAGCAGAGCAAATCCTATTCTAAAACCCAACAGTAGCCAGAGCAAGGTGCACAGAGAGCTTTAATCACTTCTTTAATGTAGATGTCCCTCCACCACCAAACACTTCCAAATGGAATGATAATTGCACATTTCATATGAAATTAAGCCTTAATGACCCACTGACATTAACAAGAAAATGAAAGAAAAGTAATGATCAACTAGAGCCAAGTGTTTCATTCTGATGTAGTTTCTCCCAAGAGGCTCACAGTTCAAAAGTGAGCTCATAACGTTCTACTGTGTTTCTCCTCCTTTCTCACAACTTTCTAGCTTCCTGGATCCCAGAGAACACCCTCAAATTTTACCTCATTTAAGTCTCGAATTTCATTTTCCGCCAAAGAAAGGATAGCAAGACTTCTGGGTAGATAAGCTGGTACCATTCTAAGAGAGGTGATGATATTTCCATGTAAAAGCAGGGTCTTAAAAGTAAAAACAGGATGAATTACAAATGAAAAGATTACAAATAAATGGGTCTATTTTGACAAAACCAAAATGGTATGTATGAAAACATGGGACCTATTTTATTATATATCTCATAGCACATAAATCAAAGACAATGCTAGGTCGTCTTCTGGTCCTTTCTCTCTTTTCTTGTCCATATTCTAAGCCCAAGAAAGTTTAAAGACTTGTCCAAGAACACATGCTTGGTGTAGTAACTAGTGTTTTACAAGATTTAGTTTATTAAAGCTTGAGCAATTTCCAACATACCAGTTCATTTCCTTTGAAAACATCAATATAGAGGAAAGGAAACTGAAAAAACAAATTAATTGAAACAATCATGTATAAAGCAAATTTTACAAAAGAGAAGGAGGGGTAGAGGGAGGGAGGAAGAAGGAGAGAAAGAGAGAGAGAGAGAGAGAGAGAGAAGGAGAGAGAAAGAGACAGGGAGAGAACCTATCTATCTATAATTTGCAACTGTATTCTTTTGGAAACTAAAAGCTCGAGGAAGCTAGAATGAGCTACTCCCAGGTGAAGCTGCAACAATGAGGAATCAAAAGCTCTGAGCCCTGGCCGGTTTGGCTCAGCGGTTAGAGCATCGGCCTGCGGTACAGAGAGACCCGGGTTCGGTTCCCGCTAAGGGCATGTACCTCGGTTGCAGTTTGTCCCAGGCCCTGGTTGGTCGTGCGGGTGGCAGCCACTCGATGTGTCCCTTCACATCGATGTTTCTCTCTCTCTCTCTCTTCCTCTCTCTCCCTCCCGCTCTATCTGAACAAAAAATGGAAAAGTGTCCTCGGTTGAGGAAAAAAAAAAAAAAAAAAAAAAAAAAAAAAAAGCTCTGAACACTCAGATTCTAATAAGATAATCATGCTTCCATTTCAGAAAAAAAGAAAAAGTTTAATCATCTTTAGTTCATCTAAATTCTCTTAGTACCTGGCTAAATCAAATTGTTTAGAATAACTGTTGCATTTTCTGCTAAAGATGTGAGAAAGTTGAGCTAATAATACTCCTTCTAAAGCTTAATGGGTTCATCTGATGCTAATAATAACCAATGAAGCAAAAATATGGAAAATGCCTACATATGTCTTTTGAAGTTGTGAGTCCAAATGTTACTTATTTAATTGCATGATATAGTCCCCTCTATAAAAAGTACTATATGCTACAAGTTTTTTTTATTAAAGTGAAGTTAATTTTGATAACTTAGTAATACCTATTACTAAAAGAATAGCAAGTCCAAGTGTCAAAAAACAGGCTCAAGTTCAGAAATAATTTTGCTCAACATCACCAACATGTTATGTACTTACTGCAAAGCTGTTAGCATGGCTGGATGGGCATGGGGAATTTCATGTTTGAAGAATGGTAAATAAGAATTAACCTTAATTGCAATGACCAGTTTTAATTATAGATACTAGAAACAAAAAGTTTCATAGTTTCTGCTACTCTAAAAGGATTTTATTATAATGAACACAATCTGTTATTTATATACAGCAGGCTGCTTAAAGCCAATCAGATTACTTTCTCTTGGTATTTGAGTACCAAATTTCAGAAATGACATAGTCAGAACACATGCTTACCTTCAGTGATACCAACTTAGATAGATCACCTATCTGGGATAAGTTATTGTCTGATAAATCGAGGTGCTGTAGAGCTGGGCAGCTGTTGACTTGTTCCATGGCCTATCACAAGAAAATCATCACGTCAATTCATGCAAACAAAATAAAAATAAAAAAAACTCTTCCCTAGTTCCTCATAGTTGAGTCTCCTGCCTCTTCTGCTTATCATTGGAAGTAGAGAAGTGGCACTTAGCAAGAAAGAGAAAGTAGTGCTAAAAGAATCTGGTAAAATGTTAATGTAGCAAGTTTCCACCTTAATTATTGCTATAAGAACAGATGATCGTATCATCCCAGATATTCGGAGCCTGAAGAAACCTTAGTGATGACACATGATAGATCACAGATTTCACAAGTTAAGAGTGGAGCCAAACCAGCTGGATTCAAATCATGACCCTGCAACTTCCTGGCTGTGTGACCTCAGGCAAGTTACTTAACTTCTCTACACTTTGGTTTCCTCATCTATATAATGGGCATGGCACTATCTACCTCACAGCCTGTGTTGAGACTGCGTTAATACAGTTAAGATGCTTAGAACAGTCCCTATCTTCAATTACCTGTTCAATAAAAGTCTGCTATTAACAATATTTTTAATCCAGTCACCTCATCTAGCATATTGAAAAGTAAGACACAGAGATATTTATTAACTTATCCAAAATTATAGAGCTCCTACATGGTGGAAGCAGGACTAGAATTCAGATCTCCTGACTTTTAAAACAGTATATTCTCTACTATGCCATTAAACATTTGCTTACAGCTTAATGTAGCGTGATATAGTCTCTCTCATAACATTTCATTCTATTTGATCCACTTTTCTAAGTATAATATAGGTTCTTTGTTCACATTTAAAAGAATATTATACTGTATCATGTATTTCGAAATAATATATATTTTTTGAGATTTTTGATGCTAACTGAAAGTATTCCTGCAGAGTTATGAGTGGGTATTTTCATTTCTTGTTCTACTCATCTCTATACTGCTTGAGTTTCTTTTTTACAGTGAATATTTTTGTAAACTGAAAAAAAAAAAGAAAACATAATTACTGGGAAAAAAAAGAAGAAAGAAAAGCTCACCTTGATATTATTTCCTGCCAAATTCAGCCACTCCAAATGTACTAGTTCCTTTAGCCCTTCCACATAGCCAATGCTATTATGAGGCAAATTTAACACACGGAGTTGGGTCAGTTTGGCTACACCCATCATCCGCACCAGCCGATTATTAGCCACTGACAACTGTGGAAAGGAAACATATTATTACTCTTTGGAATAAAATATATAGATTACACTCACATTAGGACATTAGGGTGCTTAAAAAGATTTGTTTATATGTCCAAACATGCCCAAATGTATAAACCCAATTTGTACTTTTCACATATATTGTCTCCATATTCTACAGAGTAACTATTAGTTTGTTGGTGTTGCTGCTACTCTTGAGTAATGGAGAATATACATAACCCTCAGCAATCAGATCTCCTTCAATTACTAAAGAGAAAACACTGTTAACACAGCAACTACTTGAGAATGTAAGTTCCAAAGAATGGGGTCCTTACAATGTCTCATTCAGAATCTAGAACAGTGCCAGATACATACCGGGGGCCTAATAACAAACATTGGTTGAATGAATGGGTGAATGAATGAATGAATGAATGAACGAACGAACAAACACTTTACCCTCATCATGAGGTAAAAAGTTATCTTAATATAATACTTTACCAATATATATTGGCTTTTTTAAAACAAATGCTTCTTTTTCTAGTCCACTTTAAATGTAGTACGTATGTATTCATCTTCAGGAGAAATTGCCTTGTGAATATTACAAGCAACACTTACTGCTTTCCAGGCCTGCACAGTTACTTTTTGTTTGATTATTTAATTGTTTTATTAGATATAATAATCAACTGGTTCTACATAACTATTTTCCTAGATACAATACCTACCTGTATTAATTGTCTGTATTTCTCAAGATTTTCCAATTTAATAATCTGATTTTTATCCAGAATCAAAGTATGAATATCAGCTTCACAGGGTAAGTTTCCACTTAATTTCTGTAGCCCCTGCCCTGACCAATTGACCACTGATCCTTGAAAAGAGAAGGAAAATTGTGAGAAAATACAATACCTGAGCACTGGGGTGAAATTATACTCATAAAATCCCACTCAGAATTAGAAAACACCAGAGCGCTATAAGTATTAAGATAGTAAAATGAAAGCAATCAAGTTTTAAAGTACTACATGTTGAAATTATTCACTTGCCCTCAGAAATATTAAATTACACCAAGATTTGTGATATTCTACTCAAGATTCTATGATGAAATACTTTGGACTTCTTCACATTTAAATATAAACTAATATTTCCATATTCGGTGCCTAAGGAATGACAGTATTTTTTCATTGAAACTCATCTTTTGCTAGAGATTAAATTGCTTACAACCTAACTACATATCCTAAAAGTGCCCCAAATCAAAGTATATACTTCAGTTAATTTATGTACAAAACTGGAATAATCTACCTAATTCCTTGATGTGGGATGAAAAGAGAACACTTTGCCCCATCCCTGACACACAGTACTCAATAAAGTAATTTATTACAACAGACGTTCAAATCCCGGCTGCACCAGTTCACCACTGTAGTATCTTGGGCAAGTTACTGATCTCTTTGGGGCTCACCTTCTATTCTGTAAAATGGATTTGATAATACCTGCCTTATGTTATTCGACAGAGAAAATGAGATGATGCAAAGTCTTTTTTAAAAAAGCACTTAAAATATCGTCTAGCTCACATAAAATGTGCTCTATAAACGTTAATTGCTACTATTGTAAGTTGCCTTGGTGGGCCGGGGAGGTGGCGTTTAAGACAAGGAGATACCAGAGGGAGACGGGCCCAGAGAAACTGCTTACTTCAAATGTATACCCAAATCAAGGCTATTGCGGGAAATAAGTATTCGAGAATGCTCTCCTTAAGAGATTCAACGTTTTTCCATTGTCCAATGGCTTCTAGCATTTGGGGTTGGGGGCGAGGGGGAGTCATGGGATCCTCTGAGAATTTGGTTTAAGCACAGCCTTTGCACACAATTCCTAGGAGTCCACAGACTTCTTAGAACCATCGATTGACCCCTGTACCCAGAAATATAACTGAGCCCGACCTAAGCCTTGGAGAAAGACCTCGACCATCAGCCTGGCCCGGGCCGGACAAGAGGGCGGACGCAGAGCCTCAGAGCTACGAGATCTGTAACCAAAACAAAGGAGCTCGGTTCCAGCGGCTCCCGGCCACAGAAGCACCCACCCCGCGCTCCGCTGGACAGCGACCAAACTCGATCCCAGGATCCCGTCTGCAGAAGCAGGTGTGGAGAACTGTGGGCTCTGGATCACCCCCAGATTTTATCAGCCACCGGACACTTCCAAGAAAGGGTTCAACGTCAATTTAGGCAGGTGTGTTTGATAGAAGGTATACTGTCGCCTGAACCGAGGGGTAAAGGCGACAGTAAAGTGAAAGAGAGAGATCCTGCAGTTTTCACGTGGGCACCCAGAACTCCAAGTAAACATCCTAGAAAGGTCGCCTCAGTCCGAAACCCACCACCCAGTAGCCACGGTAGCGCGGGAGCCGGGACGCCCAGCGCGCGAAGGGCTTTGGGGGCTGTAGTCCCCCGGCCGAAGCTCGCCGCGACGCCGGAGAGCTAGGCAGAGACCCGGGACTACAGCTCCCAGAGGGCAGCGCGCCTCCGCGACGCCCACAGATCCCCCCATCAAAAGAACTGGTCCAGAACAGCACCCCTAAAGCCTTCTTTTCTCTACCAGATAACCATTTAATTCAGTTCCATGAAGTAAGCCTTGGGACTCAAGGGTGAGGATCACCTTACCTTCTCCAGGAGGCAAAGCCGCGTCGACGCGCGCCACCGCCATACTTCCCGCTCGCTAATAATACCAAGCAACCGTCCTCCAGCAGCGCCGCTTGTCTGGTGGAGCAGGGGCAGGAAACTACAGCTCCCAGGATGCACGGCACTCAGAGGGCCCAATTGGCTGCCTACGCCTGATGCTGAAAACCCCGGATTAGAATCTGAGCCGCAGTGAGTCTGGGAACCCAGATCTGCTCCTCAGTTGGCCAGGTGAGCAAACTCTGTGGTTAGGGGATCATTTCATCCCCCTTTTCTAGGTGTTTGCGAAATTTGACACTTTTACCATCGGGCTGATTGTACGATCGTTGCTTAAGTACAGACTGAATTTGAGAACTCTTTGCCAGGAGTCTTTGTAGGGGCTGCCCCCTTTTTTGGACAATTCTGCATAAATTTAAAGTTTTCAGCTTTGCTCTAGGGATGCGTTGGACATCTTGTTGAGACCGTCAAAACGGATACGTTTTATTTAGAAATTTAGTAAATGAGCGCAGGGATAGAAGCTTTCATACAATATTTTTAAGTGGTTGTTCTTAAATGTTTAACAGAACTTTAGACCTGGGAGTATATTTTATAAGTATAAACCTAGAATTTTTCCAGGGAGTATGCAAAAGAAGTTTATAATATAGGCTCCAAACGAAAGAATTACACTGCCTAACCAAAGGGAAGTAGGCTTACACTTTTGATACAACTATCAGATGCTAACTAGTGTGATTGTAACTATGAACTCGGTAAGAGTTCAAGGAATGGAGAATCAAATTAAAACTGTAATCTTCAGAGATGACTTGAAGGAAGACGTGAAACAACTAGGGCTTAAAAGATGAATAGACTCTAAACAGTTTAGAAGTTGAAGGTGAAAAACATTAGTACAGGCTGCAGGTGGGGGCTGCTAGTAATGAAGCTGTGCCCCCAGGAAGTGAGAAACCAACCTGATAGCACCACAGAATGTACAGAGGAGCTTCCACCTTCTGCTACTTATTTCTCCATTGCCTCTTCCAAACTTACCTTCTGAACTTTCCTTTTTCTGAAACAGCAGTTTCCAAAATCTGATCATTTCTGATCATTTGGGAAAATTCAGTAACTCAGGCTTCTAGATTTCCAGGCATGTGATTCTGTGAGCATTCCCTCCTTCCTGGGTTGTCCTACTATTGCTCTGATTATACCTGCTTAACCCCTCTCCCCCTTTATTTCCCACTGCTTTAGTCTAAAGACAAATTTCCTAGTTCTGAAGAGGGAATTAGGACTAGGAATTTTTTTTTTCTTCCGACCAAGAAACTCCTTACCTAGAAAGCACAGTCTTACTATATAGGTGTAAGAATAAAACAAGCCTCAATACTATCTCCTACTCACTTTGTTCCTGGGATAGCTGGTGAGGATTAAGGAGACTATTTAGCTCAGGGAGGGAGAAAGGGTTTATAGTTTTCTCCAATGTAACAGTGTAATGAATGACCTGGGAGAGGGATCCTGGAAGCCCAGGGGGTAACCTAAAGAGCACATGTTCCTGCAGGTTTACAGCAATAGCAAAACCAGAGTTCTTTTGGTCTGGTTCATCTGATCTGGAATCTTGAGGAAAGGGATAAAGGATTTGTGTGTGTGTGTGTGTGTGTGTGTGTGTGTGTGTGTGTGTTGGGGCGGGGGGGGGGGGCGGTGTTGACTAAGCATAGTCATGGCTCTTAAAGAGAGCTGCCAGATGTTCCTAGGCACAGCCCTACATGCTCAGGTAAACCAGCAACACTTTAAAAAATCAGATAGTACAGCCCTGGCCGATTTTTCCCAGTGGTTAGGGCATCAGCCTGGGGACCAATGAGTGGCGGGTTTAATTCCAGTCAAGGTCACATACTGCGATTGCAGTTAGTCCCTCACCCTGGTCGGGGTCCTGTGAGAGACAACTAGTTGATGTGTCTCTCTCACATCGATGCCCCCCCCCCCCCTCTATCTGAAGAAAAATGAAAAATATCCTCAGGTGAGGATTTAAAAATATAAATAAATAAAATCAGGTAGTATGGCATTTACATCTAAAGTCAAATTGCTATACTTAAACTAAATTGCCTATCTTCTATCTATATTAAACCCTGCAAGCTCCAATCAATTTGGGGGATGCTTCTTACCAATACTATGAACCACTCAACAAGGTAACATTTTTTGGCAGGACCAAACCCCACGAGAAAGACTGTCCTTCCCATCAGCACAGTATACCTGATCTTTGGGATAGCTGATCGCTCTGACTCCTCTCCCCCATCTCTCATTATCTGCCCACTACTACTGGCAGGATCTCCGTAAAACAACACCTTTTATCGCGTAATCCCCTCCTCAAAAACTTCTCTCTTGAAATTGAGCTTTCAAGGGCCACCAGAATCTGGCCTCACCCTACTTGCCATCCTATTCATTCTACTAGTTTCCACTTGGTGTTCTGAGTTAGGGATTGACAAAATGAAACAGGTTTTAGAAAGGTTAAGCTGCTCATATAACAAGGATGAATTGAAAAATAGAATAGTGGTAGGAAGGAGACTATTGTACTAGTGGATGGTAACCTTTAGCAGAGCAGTTTTGGGAGAGTATTATATACAAGTTTAGGTAACACGAAGTTAGGAGACCAAGTGGAAAGGAAACTCGAGCAGCGTTTGTGGATAGTGCATCTTCTCTCTTCCAAACAAAGGAAGCTTTCTAATGAGGATGAGAACCTATATTTTAAAGAAGTAAATATAATAATAACTTTAAGTTTTAAAATTAAGGTTATTAATGTAAAGAATTTTGACAATGTAAAGATTTTGAAAATGGGTCCTTTTTTTTTTTTTTTTTGACAACAAAAAAATATGTGAAGGTGCGGCTGCATAACATCAAATGTTTTCTACTCTGGTTAGTATTCATTGGTAGACTCTTTGGTTCTGCTTCCTTATCTATGACATATGACATGGAAGGAGAGACTGCCACTAAGAAATATCTATTCATAGGTTATCAAGAAGCCCCTAATGAGCATTGACTTTTTTCTTTAGTGTGTATGATTATTTAATAGGTGTTACACATAATAATAAAAACACAGCAGTGCAAAAGGTTGCACACTGATAGTTCCATGTGTTTTGTTTGTGCATTTGTCCACAAGAGGGGCTTTGGTTCTTTCAGATTATCAAAGTCATCTGGAAATCAAAAAGAAGTTTAAAAGCAACATTAAAGACTTTCAGTAATAAAATTCTACCATAATATTTGGATGGAGGGGCTAAGTATCTTGCCTTACTATTATAAGGAGGCTCTAGCTGGGCTCCTGTGAAGGAATTAGTGTTGAACAAATAAGAAACTCTCTCAGTGAGAGGAACAATTTTGGGGGACCCGTGAGTGACTGCTTCCACCACCCCTCTAGATGTAAACTGCTAGCCCACCATTCTCCAAAGCAATGAGATTTAAGGAAGGTAGACAGAACAGTCTTAAAACATCAATCTTAAATACCACGCAATGTCAGGGCCAAAATAATGAATACAGGAGAGTTAGCTAACCCAAGATGAGATACTAAAATTTGTATTTTATTTTTTCCACATATAATTTATCAGCTAATACCTCAGAAAAAGGAGAAGTATAAATGAATTGCAAGAATAAAGCAACTGTGAGCTATTTTTCAGGTGTCTTTACCTAATTAACTAGGAAGAAGTTGTCTTTTCTTTAAGAAAGTAATAAAGGAATCCTTGCATTTTAATTTTATTTTATCTTCTTTGAACTGTTTCTAGAAAGCAATGAAACCCATAAAAGCAATTAAAAGTTAAGTGAATGTTTAAGTTCCAACTTTAATTTATACTTGGGAGACTTTGAATTAAAAGCTCAAAAAGTTTACTTATAAGAGTGGGAGTTTTACTCTTCACCCCACCCCCCATTATTTCATTTTTTTAAAGGAGGAGTTGTGATGATTAATTTAATGTGTCAACTTGGCTGGGCATCAGTGTCCAGATATATGATCAAACATTATTTTGGATGTCTCTATGAGGGTGTTTTTGGCTAAGATTATATTTAAATTAGTAGACTCTGAATGAAGCAGATTGCCCTCCATAACATCCAATCAGCTGAAGACCTGAACACAACAGAAGACTGACCTCCCCGAAACAGAACAGAATTCTCTAGCAGACAGCCTTTGGACTTGAACTGCAACACTGGCTCCTTGCTGGGTTTCCAACCTGCCAGCATCCGGCAGATATTAGGCTTGCCAACCGCCATAACCACAGGAGTAAGTTATTTAAAAGGAGTCTCTTCATATGTATCACACACACACACCATTCCTATTCATGGTTCTTTCTGTATTTTCTCTTCTGATTCCTTCAGTGTCAGTGTACTGAAACCTAAATGACATGTTTTACTGTAAATTTTGCTATACAGACCCCCTGATTAGACACGACATCTGCCAATGCGGATCCTGAGAACAAGATGACTGATGCCTCTTGTGAATCCTTACAGGAGACAGGTTCTGAATATGAGCATGGATGTGGGGATGTTGGGGTTCACGTCACTTTTGCTTTGAAGTGTCTACCCCTTTAAGTTTTGGTGGCACGGCTGTGAGTTGTTGAAATTGTTTTGGTGGAAGAGGTGAGTGTGGTGCAGGAGGAGGCTGCATAAGTGAAAAGAGAGGAGAGTGACCTGCAAATGGACGGACCTGCAGGAATCACTATCCAGCTCTGCTCCTTCTACAGACTCCTGACTTGTGGGAAAATGCTTTGCTGTTACGACACAGGGTGATTATAATATTTGTATGTAAGGTGTGTATCACCCAATGGTACACAGGGACCCCTGAAAACTCAGAGCAACCAGAATTTGTCATAAGACCATCAATGATTGATATGCTAGTAGAATTGATATTACATCAAAAGTAAAATAGAATTGACATGCACTGAATAGAGGACCTTCTGCATGAACTTCTAACCTACATGATATACATGCCCTGAGTAACAACTAAACCATGGAAGACAGTGAGTGGTTTTGGGGATAAGATTAGGAAAATTGATTCATGATACAGCTCATATCATATGTTTGTGACTCTCCTTTGCTTAAAGTGATCATTCACACTGACTGGAAAAATGTGCTTTTAGTGAAGAACTGAGGTTACTGGGCTGTATGTGTATACAGATACATGCTTCCAACACAGTGTTTCCAACCCTACCTTGAAAGAAAACTTATGTGCTCCCACTTCCTATTTGCAACACGTTTTTGAGCCAATTTAGGGGTGTGTGTGTGTGTGTGTGTGTGTGTGTGTGTGATTGCTTCTGGGACCCTCCTTTATATAGACAAAGGCAAGATATTTTATCAGCAGTCAAGGCAAGAAGAGTGCCCAACACTAGCATTAACTCCATATCAAACATTCTCTGTTTTGTCCTCTCCTAGAGGACTCTTTAAAATAACTTGTCAGTCTTATAATTTAGACTTGTTTGTTTCAAATGAATTTCCAGTGTTACTGGGTGACACTTCTGTTAGAGGTAAATGTTATCTGCTCTGACCTGTATTCTAGGCTCCAGTCCCTGATCCTTTTCTGCCTAGAATAGGGCTCATCTTCACCAAAGGCAGCGGGATCACTTTACTTTGCCATCATCTATGGTGTCTTGAGCATCTCTGTCTTTGGCTCTGGGTTGCAGAGTTCATTATGCCTTTCAAGTTTGATTCTGTTCAGAAACAGTCAGGGCAGGGTGTGTGGCTCTCTGGACAATATGATTGTCTGGGCAGGGACATCAAAGCGAAAACCCAACCTTCTACGAGGGGATGGGAGACAGCAGAAAGCAGAGCTCATGAGACTGGACTTTTCTTCCTTTGTGGAGAACCATAACTGTGATTTCTTATGCCATAGGCCACCCATAAAGTGACAGGCTGACTGCACTGTCGTTCACAGATCCCCAGCCTACCAAAATGGAAGAGGCAAAAATCTGGAATGGTCTGTGGGAGGCTGAGAAGAAGACAATGGCGTATTGAACTCAACTCTGTTAACTCAAAAACTGTAGGCACCCCCATGGACCAAATAGCATGTCTGTTGGTCTATTTTGGAAACAGAAATGCTAAGGAAATGTGTTTTTCAGATACCTACTGTGATTTGTTGTAACACATAGTTCTTTTTGTCTCCAAGGGTGACCTCTGAAAAGGATGAGGCCCCATACCTACTCATTGGTGAGTATCAGGAAAAATCTGAATTCACTTGACTGGGTTCAAAATTGTAACTCTAGTTTCTAGCAGGTTTTTCTCAGTGGTTAGAGCGTTGTACCTTAGACCAAGGGTCTTGGGTTTGATTTCCAGTTAACAGCACATGCTTGGGTTGTAGGCTTGATTCCCAGCCCATGTCATAGTCATGCGGGAGGCAACCAATTGATCTGTCTCTCTCAGATTTATGGTTCTGTCTGTCTCTGTCTGTCTCTGTCTGTCTCTGTCTCTCTCTCTCTCTCCCTCACCCTCGCCCTCGCCCTCTCCCCCATCCATTCCACTCTGTCTAAAAATCAATGAAATAGACTATAGATTTCTGGTCAAGATGGTGGAGTAGGTAAACATGGTATCACCTCCTCCCACAACCACATCAAAATTACAACTAAACTACAGAACAACCATCATTCAAAAACACCTGATATCAAGCTGAATGAAAGTCCTAAAACTACAAAATCAAAGAAGCAGCCACATTGGGACTGGTAGGAGGGGCACAGGTGCAGATGGGCTGGTCCCACATCCACATGTGGCGGATAAAATTCAGACGGGACACCTTGGCGGGAAAGGTCCTCCCTGAGGAGTGAGGGATCCCCATCCCACACCAGGCACCCAGATCAGTGTTCCAGTGCCAGGAAAAGAAGTCCCCATCACTTCTGGCTGTAAAAACCAACGGGAACTGAGGCTGAGGGAGCCCCAGGTAGCTCCGTTTAAAGGGCCTGTACACAGACTTACTCCCTCAGAGCTCCAATGTGGGGGAGACAGCTCGAAAGGCACCAGAGACATATGGGAAAGAACTGAGCAGTGGGGCGAGGGCTGGAGAGGCAGCTTTCTCCTGGAAAGACGTGCTGTCAGAGGCTTTGTTCCTTTGGTGAGTTCTTCCTCAACAAGGCCGGGAGATGGCAGCCATATCTGGGACTCCAGTAACCTGGCTCACACTGGTTGCCCTGCCCTGGTAATTCCCTGAGGCCCTGCCTCACCCAACTTTCAGGCCCACCCAAGCTGTTACCAGTTGCTTTACTATAGGATTGGCCTGTCTTGGATCCTGCTTCAAATTTTACTAAATTCTCTCAAACAAGCAGCATCAGGTCTCAGTGAACCCCATACCTCTCATTAAGTGGCCCTAGGCCTGGCACTAGGAGCAGTCAGCCTTGGTTCACAACTTGGCTTTGCCTAGGCATCTCTAAGCCCAGCACAAGAAGCAGAAATCTGCAGACTGCTTTGTAGCTTATGCCTGGTGGCCCTGAGTAGAATACAAGCAGTGGCTTACCTGCCCCAGAGACAGCACACCCAGTGGACAGCTTTCGAACACTGAAGCACTACCACCCAACCACCTCCACAAGAGACACACTTGAGGAATGGACTCAGTGGGTACCAGAGCCTTGCTGAAATAAGTCTCGCACTGTGTGGTGGGCCCCTGCACAGCCAGTGGTCAATGGGCACAGCCAGTCCTTGCAGCTGATCAGCCTGAGTAAAACCCTCCCATTGATGTGCCAACAGCAATCAAGACTCAATTACAACAGAAGGGAGTAAAGTCCACACAAGGGGTACACATTGAGGGCCCAGCTGGGAGACCAGGGAGGCTGTGCCACTGGACCCTATAGGACATTGACTACAATAGGCCACTGTAGGAAGCCCAGGAGACATAGCAACTCTACCTGATACATAGAAACAAACACAGGGAGGCAGCCAAAATGAGGAGACAAAGAAACATCCCAAATGAAAGAACAGAACAAAACCCCAGGAAAAGAACTATACAAAATGGAGATAAGCAATCTAAAAGATGCAGAGTTCAAAACACTGCTTATGAGGATGCTCAATGAACTTAGTGAGAACTTCAGTGAACTTAGTGAGGGCCTCAAGAGCATAAAAAAGAAGCAGTCAGAAATGAAGGAGTCACTAACTAAAATAAAGAATAATTTACAGAAATTCAGTAGTAGAATAGGAAAAGCCAAGAAGCAAACCACCAATTTGGAATATAGGGAAGCAAAAAACACCCAATCAGAATAGCAAAAAGAAAAAATCCCCCCCAAAATGAGGATAGTGTAAGGAGCCTCTGGGACAACTTCAAGCTTGCCAACATTCGCATCATGGGAGTGCCAGAAGGAGAAGAGAGAGCAAGAAATTGAAAACCTATTTGAAACAACGATGACAGGAAACAACCCTAACTTGGTGAAGGAAACAGACATACAAGTCCAGGAAGCACAGAGAATCCAAACAAGATGAACTCCAAGAAGCCCACACCAAGACATCATAATCAAAATGCAAAAGTTTCAAGACAAAGAGAGAATCTTAAAAGCAGCAAGAGAAAAGCAGTTAGTTACCTACAAGGGAGCTCCCATAAGACTGTCAGCTGATTTCTCAAAAGAAACTTTGCAGGCCAGAAGGGAAAGGCAAGAAATATTCAGAGTGATGAAAAGCAAGAACATACAAACAAGATTACTCTATCCTGCAAAGTTATCATTTAGAATCAATGGCCATATAAAGAGTTTCCCAGACAAGAAAAAATTAAAGGAGTTCATCACCACCAAACCATTATATGAAATGTTGAAGGATCTTGAAGAAAAAGAAGATAAAAAATATGAACAAACAAAATGGCAATAACTGCATACCTATTGACAATTATATCTACAAACAAAATGAACAAGCAGAACAGAAACATTCTCATAGATATAGATAACATTTTGTTGGTTACCAGACAGGAGGCAGGTTGGGGAAATGGGGATTAAGAAGTACAAATTGGTTGTTAGACTGACAAATCTCAAAGGGAAGGGGGGTGGGGGGTTTGGGAAGAAATAAACCAAAGAACTTATATGCATAACCAATGGACACAGACAACAGTATGGGGAAAGGCAGGAGAGGGGTGGGAGTGGGGAGGAGGGCGTTCAATAGGGGAAAAAGGAGGAACATCTGTAATACATCCAACAATAAATATAAGTTTAAAAAAAGGAAAAAAATAAAAATAAAAATCAATGGAATAATAAATCAATGGAAAAATTTCCCGGGGTGAGGATTAACAACAACAACAAATTGAAACTCTAACGTCTCAAAGTAATTGTTTGATCCTAAGCTTAAATACTCTTAAAAGTGAAACTTTCATGCAGTCTTCATCCATATATTTGATAAATAATGTGTTCTCTCCCAGACACTGATAACATCTCTTCATTCAGCAACATATGGTCTAGTTGGAGAAAGGAATATAAATTTTTCATCTCTATTTTTTTATTTAATAAACAGAGCTGTCTTGAAAAATGCCTCTGCCTGTTCATGGGTGTAAAACTGACACAGATTGGATTCTTTTACCCACTCTTTTATTTTTCATAATGTTGTCTTGTATTCCTCTGTCCTATTTCCTAACTAATAAGTAGCCTCTGTTTGGTGAAAATCTTCTCTGCCTCTGAATCCAAATACAAGTATTTATTTAATACCTGCTTTGTGCCAAAAACTTCTCAGCATCATGGAGAAAACCAGACCATCACCTTGAGATGCCTCAGGACTTCACTGCCTGAACAACATACACTGTGTTATTTCCCAGGCCGAGTTTTCTGGCATCTTCTCAAGGTCATTGATAGATTACACCTCTTATAAAATAGTTAATTGGCACAACTTAGCTAAAAGATAATGATAGATCTTGGAATGACAGGTTTATTCAGTGTGGTTAAGGGAAACAGAGGGAATAAAAGAAGGGAAAGGCTAGGATCTGAAGCAGACCCTGCACTACAGTGATGGTGATGATGGTGACTTCTGCGAGAAATCTGAGAACATCCCCTCTAGCATGCATTCTCTTTTTATTTTTCAACAATCCTGTGAGGCTATTACTCCTTTCAAGTCATCTGAGAAATCTAAACAAAGTAATATTGTTTGAAATGTGTATGTTTGAAATTGTCTATGAAATGAATATTCCTAGTGTGGGAACACAGAGAGTCACCTGGTACAGAGCTGAGGACAAAATCCTCACAGAAACTTCATGTTGTTTTTTTGTTTTGTTTTGTATTGTTTTATTATCAATGTTGACATCTTTGTAAAAGTCAATTGCAATAAAGTGAAAAAATAAAATACTTAAATACATTTATACTAACAAAATGCTTTAGTATAGACGAAAGAATGCTGATAACACCTTTTAGGATTAGGACACCTTTCTGCAACATGACTGACTGACTTAAAAAATCCTACCGACCCCTTAGAACCAATTCTTAGTGCATTTTCCAACTGCTCTCAATTCTCAGTTGCAGATTAACTCCTGGCTATCATGGAGATTTGCTTCTTCAGTTATTGCTACTGCAGAAGCTGCTTTTGCTCTGAAAGATGAATGTTGCTATCTTGTTCTGAACAGAGCCCCATCATCACTCCATGGCAGTTGAAAGGGAAACGCAAGCACTTCCTACTTATACTCAGTAGTAAATTAGAACGAGAAGAAGGGACTTCCATTCTGTTCTGAAACACGAATCCATCTCACAGCACAGTCTTTGGAAATTCCATGGAGAGGAAGCAATTTACAGCATGAAAATGCCAAGCAAATCATTTGCCCACAATCCATGATGATCTCGGTGCTGTTTCCCACCATGTACATGTTGTTTTGTACTTTGTTCCTGGTTTCCGAGGACCAGACAGCCTCCCCTCTGCTCACTGCCTGGTAGGACCCCTCACAGGGTGGGGCATGTGCGGGGAAGGATCAGGGCAAGTAGCCAATAGCTCTGAGGTATGCCTGCCTATGAAACCGAAATGGCAGAGAAACATCTTTTAAACTGACTTCAGGTGGGAGAGAATAGCAGTTCTTGACACATATGGCACTATTGTTTGAAAAATACTAACCACAAATGTTAATATATTTACTTTGAAAATTACCAGTCTGGGTAACAGAGAGGTAAATGTTAAAAAAACTAAAGTTGGGCTCAGAGTACTCGAGTATTTCGACTAAGTTGTACAGATGTAATTGATGTCAAGGCAGAAACTAGAAAATCTGAAATAGTCTCAGATGGAAATAGCAAAAGTCAACATTGTGCAACATACTGATGGATGTGCCTTCCACACAAAGCAACATGATTCAATATTTGTTCTCTTTACTTTTTAAACTCTTCTTCTTGGGCACCTGCCTATTGCAGGGTGTCTTTAGTGAGAGTGACCATGATGCTCACTGTGGAGGCACGGCCTCCTTTATCCAGAAGACCAAGGAGATAGGCACACCACTGTGGAGTTGCTGCTCATGGTAAGGTAGGAATGATCACACCCATCACCAAAAGCCTGAAGTTACATCTGGGTTTTCCTCTGTCTAGGTCATGGACATCTCTATGTCCTAACAGAGAGCCATCTTTCGGCCACTGCTCTCCTGCCTCAGGGATCCGAGGACTGCTCCACTTCTTCTGTCCTGGAGTCCCCCGAAATGCAAGGTCAGTTCATCCTACAGCCCAGGCACCAGCAGGAGAGAGGTGAACCTTTCCTTTTTTCAGGTGTGTCCTCTTGTTCAAGACTGCACTCCTTGAACAAACTCATGCAGATGTCCATGTGCAGATGGGCGGGGTAGAGTACCCATAGAGACCAGTACCCACTCAGAATGAAGCTGAGAGCACCCTCAAAGCTCTGATATCAAGACCCATGTTGGTTCTAGGAAGAACTGACCCTGACCCTGATGAAGTCTCTGGGTTGAAATACTGGTTTGCAGAATATGAGGAAGAAGGATATCTCAATGCCACAAGGGTGCCATCGGTCAAATTCAGGATGTGGGAAATTCTACACAGAATGTCTTAGTTTCTCCCTCTTCTAACTTCAAGCAAACTTGCTTAAAATGAAAATGGTAGAAGGTAAAGTGAATTAAGCTACTACTACTAATGCTCTCACTTCTTCCTACATCTAGGCCAGAAGAAAGGTAACATCAGGAATCCTATACCATCTCCCTTCTGAGGGGACCCTCCTACTAGCCAGGACAAGGTCTGAGCACACCACCCACACAGCCTAAACAGCTTTTCGGAGCTTCTCTGAGACTGTGAGGATGACCCTGCCTGGCCCCCTTCTGGTAGGTCACATTTTGGTCTCTGTAGCCCCAGTGAGCAGAGGAGGGAGTACCCTGAAAGGTGGTGTCCTCACCTAAATCTACCCTCAAATAGTTGTCATTACCCAGCCCCTGGCTTTGGTTGAGAAGTTTTGTAAACATGACTTCAAAGAATAAAATCAGGTTCAGGTAGCGCAGAGACATAAGGCAGGCACAACAGGAAAAGACTCTCTTGTCCATTCCATGGATTCAGCAAAGACCCACCACACAGGTTCAGAACAGTCAGGGTGGGTTTGTGTGCAGGAATCTGGGGTCTGCCCCTCACCTCCTCGACATCTCCTTCCTTCAAAGCCACACTCCTCGCATGTCACCTTTCATTCTATCTTCAGCTGAGTCTATTCAGCCTTACAACTCAGGTACCTCACATGGATTTGACTGGTATTTCATGTGCTTACACATGAATTTTCAGCCTCAAGAAAATAAAGATCCCTTCACCCTAGCAGCATGTGTTTAGAAAATGACCCAAAGTTTGCCTGTGTTATCACAAAGTGAATTTTCAGTGTTAACATTGATTGAATGTCCAGGGTCCCTTCAACCATGGTACTGGATGTGGAGAATTGTTTCTAGAGATGAAGAAGTTTGTCACATAAGTCCATCCTTGCCATTTCCACAGGCCCGTATCTTTCACAGGGGCTTGTGAGGCAACTGCAATTATCACAACACTTCCCAAATCTAACAAGAAGCCTCGGTGAAGTCTATACCTTACCCAAGGCCACACAGCAAAAGACTAGCATAATAGGTTTCAACTTTGTGGATTCCTGACTCCAATCTTTGTGACCCTCTACACTTTGAGCAGAGGACAGGATGATGCAGCAAAAGACATGAGAGGCTGGTGGGAAGGGAATGTAATCGGAGGACAGGGATGGTGAGCCTGATTTTACAAGAAAAAACAGATCTCCATTCACTTAATGGGGAATCAAGAAATGGGAATGAGCCCTGGCCAGCACCTCTCAATAATTAGAGCATCAGCCAATAGATGCCAATGGTTGAAGGTTTGAAATAGGTCAAGAGTTCCTACTTGATTTGCAGGTTAGGTCCCTGGCCCCCTTCAGGGCATGTACAGGAGGCCACCAATCAATGTGTCTCTCTCACATTGATGTTTCTCTCTCTCTTGCCCCTTCCTCCCTCCCTACCTTTCACTCTCCTAAAAAACAGTGAAAAAAAAATGTCCTTGGGTGAGGTTAATGAAAAAAGTGGGAATGAGTATGGAAAAAAGTTTCGTACCTGTTTCAGTCTAGGAACAGAGAATGGTCTGTTGGGTAGGAAATACACTGAGAAGCTAAAAGACAAATCAAATTTTGTTAGGCCTGAAGCCCAGCACTGTACCCTCACTTACCCAGGTCTGCCTGTCAAGGGGATAAGCTTGTGCTCTGGGCTTGTGGACACTGAACGCCTCAGCCTTTTCTTTCCCGTAGATGTGCTTCCTTTTATTAATGCAAAAGGTCCGGGCACAAAAGGCAGCTTCCAAAAATTGGCCGATATGGATTCACACAGAGTTCTAAAGTAAAAACTAAATTCTGGGGACAAAGTGAACCTGGACAGTGAATCTGTGCTTGTGGTTGCATGTGTCCTAAAGGTAGGGAATCTTCTAGAAGTATCCACACACAAATTAACCTGACACTAAAAGACTGGCTTCCACCCTTCCTGGTTTTGCTCAGTGGTTAGAATGTTGGCCTTTGGACCAAGGAGCCATGGGTTTGATTATAGTCAAGGGCATGCATCTTGGTTGTGGTTTGATCCCTGGCACCAGTCAGGGTCCTGCTGGAGGCAACCAATTAATATGTCTCTCTCACATCGATGTTTCTCTCTCTCTCTCCCTCCTACCCTCCCTCCCACTCTCTCTGAAAATCAATGGAAAAATATCCTCGGGTGAGGATTAAAGAAAACAATTAATGCCCAGCCAGTGTGCCTCAGTGGATTGAGCATCCACCCATGGACTGAGAGCTCTAGGTTCGATTCCAGGTCAGGGCACATGCCCAGGTTGCCAGCCGATCCCTGGTGGGAGTGAGCAGGAGACAGCATATTGGTGTTCTTTCTCATTGGTGTTTCTTTCTCACTCCCTCTCCCTTCCTTTCTCCCTAAAATCAATAATGAAAAATACTGAAAAAAACAAACAAACTGGCTTCCTTCACTCTGGTTGTCTAAGAACCAAAATAGGCATAATAGAATTAGAATCTGAAAAGCTGAAAAACACTTCTCTAAGTCAGAATTTTAAGTACCCTTTTGAATATAAAAAGCCTCAATATATTAGTTACATTTTCCTTAATGACACACACCGTGTTCCCCCTCTTCACCTCTGAACACTCTCTGGAAAATAATAACAACAACAACATAAATCATGGTGATAAGAATTTCAAAATACACATACATACAGAATGTTTAGCAGTCAAACATGTTTTTGATGAAATCTTCATCATCGTTTTGATGAAGGCCAAATTTCCCAAAGAAAATTCATATTAAATGTTTAAAATGGTTAGAGAAGTTTACCAGATTTGGCAAGCATTTGGTGAATTATAAAATGCTGGACGAGGCCGCAGGAAGCCCTGTGCACCCCGTCATGGTCAGTGGTCGTCTCTCAGGGCCTTTGGTTGCAAAGCCGTGCAGGGATGAGTCCACCGCTGGGGCCCCCTTCACTTTCCTCACGTTTCTCTGTAGTTTTCATGCTTAATCCACCACCCATGATTATGGTTACAAGGTAATGAGCCCCCAACACAAACCTCTTAGAGTTCTGACACTTAAAGTCAGTGCAGCAGCCAAAATTAGTTTGGAATTCTGAAAATTCAGTACGTTTAAAAAAAGACAAATTGTGAAATGATACAGTAAAATCATAAGCATCCAGATACTTGTCCAAAAGGGGAGTAAAAACCAGAGAGACAACTTAATCAGTCCATGTTGGCACTTGTAAAAGTCCTAAACAACAATATGATAATGTAGAAATGACTAAAAACAGGATATGAAAATTGTGTTAGACTCTCAGTTGAATGGGTCTTTCTTTGAGCCCCCTTACCATTCACCTGTATGATAAATTAGGGCAGTTCAGAAACGACATGGAGTCCAACCCATAACCGGACCACAGTGATGCACATGGGAGCACAGCATCTACATGGGACCACACTGATGCACATGGGAGCACAGCCATGCTCATGGAACCACAATGATGCACATGGGAGCTCAGCGAATCACATGAGACCATAGTGATGTACACTAGGTGTGCAAGTAGCATGCAGGGTGTTACCCTCTGGAAGGTGAACACATGGAACAGCCTTTCCAGTGAGCAGGGTGGCCCATGTACAGACTCTTGCCCACTTCTGTGCTAGAAGTACAGGCTAGCAAGTGGGTGGCTCCTGTGGGGACAGTTCTAGACATTCCAAGTTTTCCTAAAATGGAATGATCTTAGTGGGGTCAGACTGTGCAACCTTGGCCTTGATATGCCATGTCAAACTAGCTAGAAACCTGAACTGAAACCACAAATGAATTTCTCAACAAGACCATGTGAGTTTGCCATGGAGCAGTCTATAACCACAGGCCAAGAGTGAATATCCTGGGCATTGTCAGCTTGCTTCCTGTCCTGGCATCCCCACACTCAGCCTCACCAGTGGACTCCACAGCCCAGGGTCCAGGAAAAGACAGGAGACAGGTGCCCCCAGAGCAGGCACTTCATTACATGAAGCAAAGTTGTTCCTAAACCCACCCAGACTATCAGAGTCAGCCAGGGCTGGGCGCTTCCTTCCTGCTGACACACTGGGCCACTCAGTAGGAAACAGGGACAAACCCCAACTGCCATGGGCGGGTGTCGTACGTGGAGAGGTGGGAGAGGACTGGTACTTGTCCACTTGCTTCAGGGCTCTGTCCCCAGGACAGACCAGGGCCTGCCACAGCAGCAGGGAACCTCCCCTGGATGAGAGACATGGGCACTGCCTGGGGGACGTCCTGACCCAGCTGAATGGAGACGTCTTAGACTCTTAGTGAGACCAGTGGAAGGAAGGTGTGCCTTTGAGCTAGCAGGGCCACGTGACAACTTCCCCTCACTCTTAGACGGAACATTTAAAGCTCATAAACATTAAGACTCCCAAGTGTATGGTATTAAGAGTCGTTCTTCAACCACCTACAGTGACCACTTTCCCAGGCCTCCACTTAGGCAGCTGACATTTGCTCATGTCTTCCCGGATTACATACAGACCTGAACCTATCTCCCACATTCTGATGAACTTTCTCTTGGGGAAGGATTTTTTCTGTTCCACTCAAGGGGTGGCTAGGGGTGACAGGTCCTTCCCCACTGGGGATTGGGATATAATTCCCACACTTGCTGCTTGCAGTCTGCAGAATTGAACTTTCACACAGTGAAACTTAAGGAGGAATGAAGCTGCTCTCAGAGTCTTTTTCTCTGAGAACTACCAACAGCTCAAGTTAGAGGCCCAGTTCTCTCTTCCTATGTGTGCAAGAGCACAGGCTGTGTGTGCTTCAACTTCTCCTGCCAGGAAATAAGAGTGAGCACTGTGTCTGCCCTGCACACGCACAGGGGGATGTGTATTTCTTTTCAAGAAGAGACTGTGTCATTCAGTAGCAGCTTGCTAATGTGCACGCAGAGAGGAAGAGCCAGACGATAGAATAGCTTCATCTTCATTCCCACCACTTTCCAGACTCTAATTTCCAGGGTCTACGTTTAGCTGGAGATCTCCCAGCCCTTGCCTTTGGGTTGGGGCTTTAGCTAGGAGCTAGACCCACGATATTCTGGGGCTCACAGTTAGAGGGTCCATGAAGTGGGGTCTGAAACCTAGTTTTTAACTGAACACTTTTTATGTAATGTTCCTCAATACACATTTGCCATAACAATAATATTCCTTTTTCTCTGTGTAAGGATTTTCATGAGACATATTTCTACATTATTTTGCATTTTCACTGGGTTTGTACTTACTACAGAGAAGGACCCTGTTTCCGTGTCTCTGTTACAACTTCCTGAGAGAAATGGCTGGTCTATGAAAGGTGTGTTCTGTCCTCAGGCTCCTGGAGCAGCTGCCCAGAGCCAACGCTGGGCTCCTGCGCCACCTGTCTGGGCTGCTGCACACCATCCAGCAGCACTGCTCCTCCAACCAGATGGCAGCTCGCAGCCTGGGCTCGTGCCCCGCCCCCAGCATCTTCTGTCTGCCCAGTGCCTGCAGGTCAGACTTAGTGAGGGACTTGAGAACAAAGGTAATGAGAGCTCTCACTCTGATGCCCTGGGGCAGGGTCCCACTTCGAACCCAAAATGTGCAGTAATAACTCTGAGGGACCAGTGTCTGGAAGTGGACACTTTAACCACAGGCCTCTGGAGTGACAGGGTCATTTGGCCTACCCTGTGGGGTATGGGAAGGTGCGTGGTTTATGGGTAATTTAAATCCCTTCAGTCCCTTTTCCCTTCCCACCCTGGAGAAGATTGAAGACACAGAGATAATGTTCATAGAAAGAACCTGGGTTTTTGAGTCTGATAAGCCAGGTTCCACTCTGGGCCCAATCACTGAGGGAGGTGTAACCTCGGGCAGAGTTTCCAGGTACTGGTTCCATCATGACACAGCAGTGACAACACCAGCCCCTCTGGCTCCTGCCTGGCACATCCTCAGTGCTGGGGAGACGTGAGCACCCATGGCCACACTCACATGGGCTTCGAGCCAGTGAGGCCCATTGAGAAAACTATTTGGCGACACTTTGGTGTTTGCTGCAGGTGAGGAAACTAGTGTAAGAGAACAGGGCACCTCATGCAGCCACCACGGGCCTGGAAGGTCCCAGCTCTTCCCCAAGCTCACCCTCCAGCAAGCGTGAGGCAGGCAGTGCATGGGGACCCCCTGTAGTTAGACAAACGGACATGCTTCTCCCCACCGCCTGCTTCCTCCACAAGAACCACAGACCTCTCTGCTTCCCATGCCTCAGACACTCTTCACTCAACAAACAATTTCACCCCTGGCTGGTTTGGCTCAGAGGCTGGAGCATTGGCCTGCGGACCAGAGAGTCCTGGATTCCAGTGTCTGAACCCGGTTCATGCTAGGGGCACATACCAAAAAAAAAACAAACAAACAAACAAACAGGTAATTTCATAAGTTTATCTACTGGGTGCTTTACAAATGTTAATAAATGTGTTATTTATACTGCAGTAAAATAAGAAAAATTTTTACTTTAGAAAAATATATAAATATAACTTAGTAAGAGAGTATATATTTTCACCACAAACATTTTATATGGGTGACTTGAAAGTTATCTCAATTTTAAAGTTGTAACCATTGATATAAAATGTTAGCTGTAGAACTAGCCAACAAATTATAACTTTAGACTCGTGATTAATAGTATTTTAAAATTTGTTCCCAAAGTAATCTTGAACGTTATTTCTTTGAGAAAACTGCTTTAAATATTTTTCGTCCAATTTCTGAAATTATCTCAGAATTTTTTCCCATTTTGTTAGATCCAGGATTCATTAATGACTTGTTATTTATATGTGATTAATATGATGTCCATTTTGCCCTTGTATTTACAGTTTGATGTTGCACAATTTCTCATTGAAAATGGCCTCAAAGTCTTTGGAGAAGACATCACCTCCATCTGTGGGTAGAGCCCCATGAGTGGTGACAACAGAAAAAAGGCTGCAGGTAGCATGATGGTTGGAACAGGCATGGGGGTGGGGATAGACCCCAAGGTGCCCGGGTTGGAGAGAGGTTCGGATGGTGCTGCACCAGGCAGCCACCATCTGGAGGAAAGAGAGTGAGATGAGCTATACCGAGGACCATTCCCCAGCATCAGAGACCACACACCACCTCCATTCCCTCCACCTGCTCATAGCTGATAAAAACCTCCACCCACACCTCTCAGTGCCACTCACATCCTGAGTCAACCCCACTCCTCTCCATGAGCCCTGCATTGTTGAATCTCTCTCTCGTGCTCCTGAATCTTTTCTTGTACAGTGGCAAGAACCTGGTCCCAGCCATTGGGTTGAGGCCTCCCTGTCCCCCCTGTGAACACTCTATCATCAATAGTAAACTGAATTTTTGTTTATTTATTTTTTTATTTTATTATTTTATTTTTTTATCCTCACCCGAGGACATTTTTCCATTTTTTGTTCAGCTAGAGTGAGAGGGAGAGAGAGGAACAGAGAGAGAGAGAGAAACATCGATGTGAAAGGAACACATTGAGTGGCTGCCACCCACACAACCGACCAGGTCTGGGGACAAACTGCAACCAAGGTACATGCCCTTAGCGGGAACCAAACCCGGGTCTCTCAGGACCGCAGGCCGACGCTCTAACCGCTGAGCCAAACTGGCCAGGGCGTAAATGGAATTTTTAAAAATAAAACTTGGCCCTGGCCAGTTTGGCTCAGTGGTTAGAGGGTTGGCCCGCATTCGGTTCCCTCTAAGGGCACATACCTCAGTTGCAGTTTGTCCCCGGCCCCTGTTGGGGTTGTGTGGGTGGCAACCAATCGATGTGTCCCTCTCACATCGATGTTTCTCTCTCTCTCTCTCTCTTTCTCCCTCTCTCCTTCCCCGCTCTATCTGAAGATAAATGCAAAAATGTCCTCGAGTGAGGATAAAAAAAAAAATTAAAATAAATAAATAAAACTTGAACTGAGCCCCTCTATGCATAGCAGAGGTGCCCTGGTCGAAACCAGTCAGGAACCTGGAGCGCTGTCTGTTTTATCCCGCCACCCCCTTTTCTGCTCTGCGTTACCAGCTGTCTTATCTTTGGCCAGTTCTACCTCACGTCTTTTTCTTCATCTCTAAAATGTTGACAAAAGCAATGTCTCAATCTGGGGATTTAGGCAAGATTATAAGATAATAGATATAAAAGTAATGTGTAGAGAAGCAAACAGTGCTGGCAGAAGTCCCACTGATGCAGGAGCTCATGCTCTCTGAGCTGACTAAGCAGAGCGCACTGGCCACAGTCCACTTGCTCCGGCTCTCAGGGGGAGAGCAGAGTCTGGGGCTTGGATTGTCATCCCTACTTATATTGGATATTCTTGGTTTTATGCCATACACCTCATTGCTTTGTGCCGATTTTTAGGAAAATCCATTTCATGACTGATTGAGAAGAGTTCAGTACCTGAGAATATGCTTATGCTAAGTCAACTGTTTTCATTTCAGCAGTGACCACAAGCCACCTCTTGACTCCAAGCCGGTGGGCGTGATAGTGCTGTGAGGAAAGGCAGCCTCCAGCGTGGGCCTTGGCCCCGCCGGGCCTTGTCCACCCAGCTGCCTGGAGACAGTTTTGTTAGTCACGCAAGATGAGCATCTCCAGAATCCCACTTGACCTTCCTTTCCTGCACTATCCTGAGAACTATCTTTCCAAAATGTTTGAATTTGGATGAAATCCTCCCACCCTGTTCTGAACTAAGTAAAATTTCCTGCAGAACAATGAACACAAGGCACCTCAAACTAAGACCCTGGGATCATTTGCCTTTACTTGGAATTTTGCATAAAAATAAAGCACCTTCTGCCCTGGCCGGTTTGGCTCAGCGGTCAGAGCATTGGCCTGTGGACTGGAGAGTCCCGCGTTCAGTTCCTGCTAAGGGCATGTACCTCAGTTGCAGTTTGTCTCCAGCCCAGGTTGGGGCCATGTGGGTGGCAATCACTCGATGTGTCTCTCTTGCATCGCTGTGTCTCTCTCTTTCTGCCTCTCTTTCTCCTGCTCTATCTGAAGATAAATGTAAAAATGTCCTTGGGTGAAGATTAAAAAAAATAAAATAAATAAATAAATAAAGTACCTTCTGCCCAGCTGATGTGGCTCAGTGGTTGAGCATCGTCCCATGCACCAAGAGTTTGCCTGTTTGATTCCCGGTCAGGGCACATGCCCAGGTTGTGGGCCCAATCCCTAGTGGGGGCATGCAGGAGGCAGCCAGTCGATGCTCTCTCTCATCGATGTTTCTATCTCTCTCTTCCTCTCTTTCTAAAATCAATAAAGAAAAAAATAATAAATAAATAAAGTGCCTTCCACGGCCACAGCTCATCTCAATTGAGTTTTTCTTTTCCTTGATCCTAATAACCCATATTTGAGAAAATCTTCCTACACTATGTACTTCTGTTTTTCCCATTCTACCGTATTATTATATGTATGTTATTGAATTGTATTTTTGTGTAAGTTTTTTACTGATGCAATAAATGTCATTCCATAACTTAGTGGCTGAGACACCCATTTTTTTCTGCTCAAGATTCATGTTCACACTTTGATGGAGGCCCCTCTGCGCAGTTTTGGTCTCAACTGAGGTCACCCGTGCATCTACACTCAGCTGGCAGCTCAACTGGGGTTTCCTTATGTGTCCACTGGTGCTGGCTCTTGGTCGATCCCCATGTTTTCAACAAGCTGGCCCAGCCTCCTTTACATGGTGGAAGACGAGTTCCAGCAGCAAGAGAGGTTTTTTAAGTCAGCGTGGAAGGGGACTGGGAAGGGACTCGCATATGAAGGAAGGCTGGGGAGCAAGGTCATTGCCCCCTGTACCTGAGCCGGTCACGTGTAAGAAGGTGGGCTGTCCTCAGCAGGGCAGTCTGCATGCTCTCAGGCTGCTGTGCTCTCACCCTCCTGGACCCTGCTTCCTTCACACAAAGCCCCTCTGGAGCTGCAGGTGGACATCTGTCCATGTGCCCAAAGACTCCAGCAAAAGGGGATAGAGAGGATTCCGTGGACGAAAAAGGGGCCTCATCCTAAACCTAACAACCTCGGAGGACGTCTGCATGGTGGCCTTACAAACTCAGGGACTGAAAGTAACCACATAGGATGGTCTGAAATAAAAACTTCATAACTAAATGTGGGTCATTGTAGGTAGTCATGTCCTAGGCCAGTATCTTCCTTAACAAAGGTCAATCTTTACCTTAACTGAACTTGTTTATTGCCACTTTGCATCTACAGTCACATACCTTTGGAATGTCAAAGTAACCGTCATTTCCCAAACCCCTCAGTGCAATCTCCCACCAGAACAGGTGACCACAGGGCCCCTCACTGTTACCTTGTTCTCCTGTATCCCACTTCCACGTGCTGTAACTGTTCACTGTTCACTAGTCCATACCCACTGATGTAAGAAGTATGTGTCTATCCGTTTCCACTTTATCCAAACTCAGAGACGTCCCCACTTTGTTCTCCCCCTTGTAATCTATCACCAGTGGGTTTCCTCTAACCCCTTCTGTCTTCTCCTTTGATTCTGTTGAAAACATGCCACTATCCAGAACATTTTCTCAATCCCTTGAGATTTTGCTTCCTGGAAATTGTCAGTTTGGCACAAATAAGCTAATAAAAATTCTCTACATGTTTGGAGGTTTCTTACTCTGAGAATTCCTTGCAGCACCTCAAACTGAAAATCCTAGTCTATTTCTTGTAACTGATGATGCCCAGTCATATTGTCCAAAATAGTTCATCACTCTGGATCAAATACAAAGATGGATCAACAACATAAAATGTCCCAAGTGTGAACATGAAAGAAACTCTGCTTATTATTCAACTTCCTCCTAAACGTAATGGGAGGAAATAAAATTCCATGGAAATGAAAGTCAAATGCCCCCTTCCCAATTCTGTACAACTGGCTCAGTCTCAGCTACAGGGCTGACTTAGATGCCTGGGTTCCCGCAGAGGCTGCGTGTCCTGGGTTGTCGTTCACAGGAATGGACGTAGCTCCTTCAGCCTCTTCAAAGTTCATTCCTATCTCTACTTCTACTTTCCAAAGGTTCAGTGATCACTAAAGACACTGAATCTCCACCAGTGACGTTTTCAAAAACAACACTGTGGTCTCGAAATGAAGTGTTCAGGGAAATCAATGATAAGAGACTGTCACTGTTATTCTGTTTAGAGCTCTTCCACGAAAGTGAAAAGAATGCATTGGCATTTGGGAAGAAATTAAGCTTCAGCTGTTACATGTAAAGGTAACGCTAATCCATGCAGAAGGACAGCTCCCTTGCCCTTCCTCAGACGTAGTTTTCTCTCCTTGGCTTTACTACAAGGGGAAGATAGTACCGAACACCCTTCCATCCCAACGGATACCTAAAAGCCAGTCACTCACAATCCTGGTTGCATTAAGAATCACTCACAAAACTTTTTAGAAATATATGTTTTCTAACATAGTAAAATCTGTCACATTTCTCTTAGCAAAATTCTAATATATATCCTTGGGCAAGGGAAACAAAAGAAAAAATGAACAAAAAGGACTATAACTAAAATGTTTTTGTATAACAAAGAAAACCATAAACAAAACAAAAATACCACCTGCTAATTGAGAGAATTTATTTGCCAATGATACATGTATAAAGGGTAAATATCCCAAATTTATAAAGAATTCATATAACTCAACGCCAAAAAAAAAAAAAATCATCAATCAAATTAAAAAATGGAGAGAGGACCTGAATAGGCACTTCTCTACAGAGGACATATGGGTGGCCAGTAGACACAGTGCTCAACGTCACTAATTTTCAGAGAAATGCAGTGTAAAACCACAATGAGATATGATCTCACATCTGTCAGAATGGGTATCATCAATAAATGCACAAATGGTAAGTGTTGGTGAGGATGTAAAGGGAACCCTCATATATTGTTGGTGGGAAAGCAGATTGGTGTAGCCAGTATAAAAAGACATTATGAAGTTTCTAAAAAAATTAAAAATAGAACAGCCTATGACACAGTGATTCCACTTTTTGGGATTTATTCATAGAAACCCAAAACACTAACTCAAAAGAATATATGCACCGCTATGTTTATTACAGCATTACTTATAATAGCCAAGATATGGAAGCAGTACAAGTGCCCATCAGTAGTGAGTAACTAAAAAAGTGGTGGTACATATATAAAGTGTACTCAACTATAAATAAAAATGAAATCTTTTTGTTTTGCAGCAGCATGGATGGATCTGGAGAGTACCAAGCTAAGTGACATAAACAAGGCAGAGAAAGACAAACATCGTATGACTCACTTATATGTGGAATCTCAACAACAAAATAACAACAAAACTGAAACAGACCAATAGACACAAAAAGCAAACTGGTGGTTGCCAGAGGACAGTAATTTGGGGGGAATGAGTGAGAACTGGAACGCTTAAGTACAAATTGGCAGTTACGAAAGAGTCACAGCATGTAAGGTACAGCACTGGAAATACAGTCAATAATATTATGATCACTAAAATGTATGGTACCAGTTGAGCACTGGGAATATCAAAGGAAACACTATGTATAGTATATAGTTGTGTAACAGCTAATCTGTATATGTGAAACCAATACAAAATATTATTGAAAGTAAACTGTAATTGAAAAATTAAAGAAAAAAAAATAAAGGAAATGCATGTTTGTCTAGATCTGCTAAATCAGAACCTGGGTGAGGGGAGCCTGAAAAGCTCCTCCAAGTGATGGTGATGCATATCAGGATTAAAGACCACCCACTTGCTTCAAGAAGGAGAAAAGCTGTCCTGCTTCTAACCGCTCTGAAAGGGAGTGGCAGAGGATGGAAGCTATCTGAGAATTGGGTAAGGTCCAGACACAAGAATTTCTACAAGTCTTTCCTTACCTAGACACCCACAGATGAATTAGGAGGCAGGAAACTGTTGTCCACTGAGCCTCCAGGGCACTAAATATAGGCACAGAATGGCATTGTCTGTAACAAGGGTCACAAGTTCTGGAGTCCACTAGCTATAGGCTGCCTCTGTGCTAATTTGATTTTTTATTAATTAATTAATTTATTTTTGTTGCAGATGTTTCTCCTTTTCCCCCACTGATTCCCCCCTCCCTCTCCCTCCCTACCGTCGCCAGCTTTGTTGTCCATGTCCATTGTTTATGCATACATGCATATAAGTTCTGTGGATTTATCTCTCCCCCACCACCTCCTTTTCTGGGGATTGTCAGTCTGTACCCCACTTCCACATCTCTGGGACAACCCCATTCCTCAGACTGTTAGGTTCATTATATTCCACAAATAAATGAGATCATATGATACTAGTCTTTCTCTGTTTGGCTTGTTTCGCTTAGGATAATACTTTTCAGGTCCCTCCATGTAGTCTCAAAGAATAGATATCTTTCTTTCTTACAGCTGCATAGTACTCCATTGTGTATATGTAACACTGCTTTTATATCCATTCATCTACTGATGGACACTTGGGCTGTTTCCAGATCTTCGCTATTGCAAATAGAGCTGCTACAAACATGGGGGTACATATATTCTTTCTGATTGGTGTTTCAGGCTTCTTAGGGTATATTCCTAGAAGTGGGATCACTGGGTCAAATGGAAGTTCAATTTTTAATTTTTTGAGGTAACACCATATTGGTTTCCATAGTGGCTGCACCAGTCTGCATTCCCACCAGCAGTGTACTAGAGTCCCCTTTTCTCCACACCCTCACCAACACTTGTTTGATGATTTGTTGATGGCGGCCATTCTGACAGGTGTGAAGTGATACCTCATTGTTGTTTTAA